CAAGTTACTTATCATAGAAATGTAGGACTGGAAGGGAGCTCGACAGGTCATCTAGTCTAGTCCTCTGCACCAAGGCAGGAATAATTATCGAAACCAGAGGTTCTCAAACTATTGTACTGTTCACACAGCTAGCCTCTGAGTGTGATGCGACCCCCCCCCCCCAGTAAATTAAAAACACTTTTAAAAATATATTTAACACCATTATAAATGCTGGAGGCAAAGTAGGGTCTGGGGTAGAGGCTGACAGCTCGCAACCCCTCATGTAATAACCTCGTGACCCCTGACCCCCAGTTTGAGAACCCCTGCTCTAAATCATCCCTGACAGATGTTACTTATGTCTTGGCCAACATGAGACTGGCATCATGGGCAATCAGAGGCAGAAGTCAACATCTCAATAGTGAATGAGAGATGATAGGTCATGAAGGGCCTCGAAACTGAAGACCAGCAGCTTGTGTATGATAGAGAAAGGGGGAGCAAGTGGAGGGATTCAGAGGGGTGATGTGGTCTGCTAGGAAAATGATCTTTGCAGCATCTTTGCATTCATCTTTGAACGAATGAGTGGGGCAAGATTGAGAAAAGGAAGCTGCTGTGATCAAGATGTGAAGTGAGTTGAGACCCCGGACAAGAGTGTGTATTTGTTGTGTGGATGGATATGAAAGGCCATAAGTTAGAATGATTATGTGGGTGGTTTTACTCCAAGCATAATTCAATGTCCTGAAGAGCTAACGTTTTTCACCGAGTATTGCATTTATTTTGCTAGGAGAGCCGTGTCAGTAAGGCAGTAGAAGTGATGATTCAACATGTGGAAAACTTGAAACGCATGTATACAAAAGAGCATGCAGAACTTGAGGAGTTGAAACAGGTCTTGCTACAAAATGAAAGATGCTTTAATTCCTTTGGGGATCAAGGTAATTGTTAAACCTAAGCATATTTTCATTTCTCTTCTAAGTAACTGCCATCAGTTGAGCCCTTTAGCTTGTATTTATAAAGCTGCTTGATTTCCTTGGATGGGAGGTGCTATAGAAATACTTTATCTCCTGTACAGTTATGATACCGAACTGTAATGTGTAGCAGCAGAAAAACTTATTGATAGTCCTCACTTAGATGCTTATTGGAAACATTTAAGGGCAACTATAACTTCAGACTTTTAAGCAGACCCTCCTGAATCTCTGAAAACATCTCTCATTTCACTCATGGAGTAGCAGGCCTCTTTGGAAGGTGCAACACAGGCTGGTGAATTCGACTCTTATATGCAGTACATTACAAATTGGATGTTCATTTTAATGTACTTCTGATCAATCTTCAGTGGCCTGAGTTCAGAAGCTCCAAGCTTCTGAGACTCCAATGGAAGTTGGAGGCGTTCAGCGCTCTGAAAATCAGAGCACATTTCTTTAAATTTAAAAGATCCTAGTCTTACGTGCACAGCACACAAATCCTTGCAGAAGCTCTTTAGCCAAGAAGGAAGGAGTAAAAATTGGCACGGAGAAGTACTCCATCCTGTAAAAACAGATTTAACTTGCTAAAGATAAAGTAGATCTGCTGGGCTCATTAACAAGGTCTAGTTAAGAAGTGACCCCTCCTGCACAGGGCATGCAGTAATGTGCAATGTTAACTAGCTTAGGTAGTTTGAGCTAATGGTTACAAGTCTCTAGCTGTATCCAGTATTTATTTGTTCGTTGGCCATTTTTAAATCCCTTTTTAGAGAGACCAGTGGGTGAGAGATCCACTCACCCACCTTGTAGCCATGTTTGGCCCAGGATATTAGAGACACAACAACACTGATTTGTTTTTGACACTTGCTGCTTGGGTTTTTCCCCCCCAGAGATGCTTAGCTGCTGTAAACTTAAATAGGACCTGCAGATGGTCAGACCATCTGGCTCTCTTCCACAATGGCAATCTTTAAAAATCTGCTTACAATACCATTTCCTCTTTACAGATGAATCTACAAATAAAAAGCTTCCAAGTTCTCTCAACTTCAAGGTACCAGTACCACTGAAATTTATAAAAGTAAATGGAATGCTGTGTGCTCTTCAGAGCTGCCTTGTACATGTACTCCACTGGGGCTTGACATCCACATGAAAGCTGTATCTATTAGGCTCTCTGTAACTCCCTAAACTCACAAAAGCAAACTAACTTCATTAGATATGCTAACATTTCAATGGAAAAACTTTAAAATTTCAATGTGCTGCTGTAAGTGGGTCCATAATCTCTCTTTTTGAGGCCCGTCCCTCTTGAGTTCAAGAACTATTGCTCTCATGGGGTCCTCAACAATGAAGCCCTCAAAAGAGTGGTCTTTAACATACTGAGCCAAGAGATATCTAAAAGCAAGTTTGGCAATAGGATCTATATTTTGCGCTCCAGTAGGTTAACTTAAGACCTCTTTAAATTTCAGAATTTGCAGTAGCAGATACACATGCATGTGGTTTCTAATCTGGAAAATAACCCGCATATTAATATGTAAAATTATTTTTTTAAGAAAGTATACTTCAAGTACTACCCAGTAATAACCCCAGATGTATCTTTTTAGTGTTTATACTAACTAAACATCAACTTTTATAAATCTACGCCTCCAATTAACATGCTTAAAACTAGTGGTTAATCTAACCAATGCATAATAGTTGTTAATAGCTCTTCTTTGTGTAGCCATCATCCCTGCGAAGAGTCAGTATTGCAGCATTGCCCAGGAATATTGGAAACACTGGTAGTGGTTTGCCGCTGGTAAGTAAGGGTTGTCAAAGGGTGACTGTTTTCATTCTCAAACTGGTCAGTTTGCATTTTACCTTCTTTTACAGGCCCAATTATATGGAACTGATGGAAATGAAAAAAGTGACAAATTCAACAGACGATCAAGCAGTTGGTAAGGCTACTTGATTTTTTGTTTATTTTTAAATGGGCCTTAATTTTTCAACTTCATTATGGCTGTAGTAAACCGTTCCACTGGAGTAGCTTACTGAGGATCTTTTGGAAGTAATGCTGTAAATGTCTATGCTATGTAAACCCTAAAGTTCAGCTTTTACACTCTCACCCAAGTGTCCACATCAAGAGGCCTGAAGTTCAAATTTAAGAGGTTCGGCGTTCCCATGGACTTCGACTGCAAGGACATGCGAAAATTTGAAAATCTGGCACCTTATAGTTTCTGCTTAAATATTAAACTGGGAGTCAAACTTGAAAAATATTTTCCAAAATCTTCATAGCCTACCCCAACATTAAATAAGCATGCTCGTTTATCTCTATCTTGCACTGAAGTTATTTTCTTTACTGTGATCTGAAAGCTTTAGCTGAAGTACTTATTTTCAAGTATGTACATTTGGCAGGGGCCGACTGGGATCAAAACAAAATGAGAAGCGTCCTTCACTGCGACGATTCATTAGCACATATTCCTGGACAGAGTCTGAGGAAGAAAAGTCTGAAACAAAGTAGGTCTTGATTACTTAATCTGCAAGACTTCAAGGTGGGCTTGCTTCTTGCGCTTGACACCATGTTGCATGTCAAAGCTGTTGTAAACTGGAATACTTACTCTATTTATAAAAATGTGCCTGTTTGTGTATTGATGAGTGTTTACTAGGAAACTTAAGTTCTAAAACTTACTTGCAGAACCAAACAGGCAGAACCACCAGTTGAAGAAATACAAGAAGACAAAGCAAGGAAGTTAAGTGTTACTGAAAGGGGGAAAAATCCATCAAAATGGAGTCTAGGATCAGCGTAAGTTTCTCAATTGCAAACATGAATTTCTGTAAGGGGAAGTAGTGGTCCGGTGGAGGACATGGGAAGAGGAAGCAGAGTGGTAATCTTGACTTTTTATTGATGTCAGCCTTTCAAAGTAGGCAGCATTAAGTAATCGAATTATCAGGTTAAAGCTCTACTTTTGGTGCTAGTCAAGAACAGAACAACTTCTGGTATTACAAGCTCACAAATTCATTTTGAGATGTGACCCCTTGCAGTGTGGTGCTCTGCCTGAACACTGCCCCTCGGAGATCAAAGCCTAAGTTCTTAACTAGTCCAGATAGCCCTGTCATTCTAAATTTACAGAGGAAGGCACTGGAGTATACATTAAACCCTTCTGTTGCAGAAAAAATGGCTGATATTTGCAATGCCCACTAAGAGATTTAGCCACACACTTTCCATTAACGCGAATGGAATGTGTGAAGAAATCCCATATTTGCCTTTGAAAACAGTTTTTGTGCCTCTTCAGAGTTTTATATAAAACATCTTTAGCATCTAGTGCTGACTGGAGCCTGCATTGTAAACCCAGAATATAACATGCCAGTGTAGCTGGCTATTAGTACAGCGGCAAACTTGTCTTCATTACATACAATTTATATTCTGGATTAGTAGTCAGACAATATGATATTTAAACCTTGAAGAAAAGCATGTCTGTCCTATGTTTATGGCTTCTCCACAGTTGCAACATCATGTCATCGTGGGCATCTCATCTGAAGACTTCCTTCTCCAAGGCTAACAAAACTCTCTGGATTTCTCTTACCATCATTGTACTCCTTGCTGCACTCACAAGCTTCCTCACAGGTCTCTCTCTCCAAAGACCTGCAGATGCTGCCCCTGTGGGAACTGGAAGTTCCTGGACATCACTACAACAACTGCTGTGGCCACATACTAAACTTCAACACAATGGACCACCACCAGTATAACACACAATCTGTATTTTAATTTGTAAAATCTTTTTTTTCCTCCCCTAGACATCCTGTTTTGACTCAATTTGTGTTATATAAACTAGTGTAAACATAGCTCTCAAGTCTAGAATTACTTTAACTTTCTAATATGAGTTGAGGTAGTATATTTAAATCCCTTATTTTGAAGCTTTTTAGACTATACTTAACTTTCAATGGTAAAACATTTTAAAGCATGATTTGGAAATACAACTTCCCCCTCTGACCACAGAAGACTATCTTCCCAAATGTCTTAATCTTGTTCAAGATTAGAACAACTTAAAAAATAGCTGTCTCTCCTTTTGAAGCTTGTAATAAATGGGTCTACATGTGTAGTTACTAGAAAGTAACGAATTTTATTCACAAACTTTTTCTTAATGCATTTTTAGGCATTTAAAAAGCTGTTTTGATTTGCATGTGAAATGAGACATCAAATGTAATGTTATTGACTGAGTTCTTGATGCTCAATAAAGTTAATTTAAAATATTGGCTTAAGAGTATGTTAACACTCTAGTAGCAATGAGCAGTTGGTATACAGCATCAATAAATAGGCAGCTGGCTTTCTTTACTTTTTCAATTGCTTCTTCACTGGCAAAATCTTTGATCAGATGGTACAGCGTAGAATGAAATTCAGTATTGTTCGCTAGATCTTCTGAGAAGGCTTCGCTAGTTTCACTGATTATGAGCCTTTGTGCTCGCTGACCATTAAACATATAAAGGGACCAGTCTTCATCTTTAACAGCATTGGTTTTAAGGTGTTCACTCACCTACAGCAGAATGGAAGAGTAAATGCTGTAACATTACTACATTTTCTAGATAGACATACAGTTAATGTAGGGAGGAAAGCTGATAGCTTGGGATGCTGAGACCCAGGCTTAATTCCCTGCTCCAGCAGAGACTTGTGTAACTTTGGATCTCGCCCTAGGTGTCTTGATCAAAAGAGGAAGGTGCCTGAATCCAAAATGTAGGTCCTCAAAATCCCCATAGTGCCAAATGTCAGTGGGCACGTGCACCACCACTTAAGTCCTGATGCTGAGTATGTGACTTAGGGAAATGTCTAGTCTGAGCTCCTGCATTTGTTCTGTCAGAGGAGGGCTAATATGGTAGATGTCCTCAGATGCCTACAGTGCTTATGGGATCAGGCCCTGCACGCAACAGCAGAAGGTGGTGTTTTATCCAACACTGCATGGGTTACAGCACTTCCAGCAGGAGGTGGGAAACCTGGATTCAAGTCCCCTTCTCCCCCTGTCCCCTCACCCCCAGAAAGAGGAGCATGGATGTGAAACCTGGGTCTTCTGCCTCCTGGGTGAATGCTCTAACCACTGTGGTTTTAGATATTGGGCCACCATGATTCTTTGTCAGAGCTGGCTAACTAGGTTTAGGCACCTAAATCCAGAAGAGAGCCTGTAAATTATAAGTGGTAACTGGACTGTCCCTTCCACCCTACCTGAGGCACATACCCCTGTCCTCTGCATTTTGTATTGTCTAATTTAGGTGGCTCCCCACCCAGCTTGCTGGCTTTTGAGGGTCCTGTTCAAGGTAGCCAGGCTCCCTCAGGAAGGCCAACAGGAATCTTGCATATGTAACTATTTGTCCCTACACATCTAGTATCTCTAAACACACTGAGCCAAGTAACTCCGATTCCAGGATTAACATCTCAGTTACTCAAACAGATTAACATTGTAGCTTCCTGGTGATTGGCCAGAAGATACCTTAATCATAGCAATTCACTAATTCCTCTTGAGGATTCTTTGAAAAGTGGTGGTGATTAAAGTTGTCCATGGTGACATTTATCTTTCATCAAATGCAAGGAAAGGGTGGGAATATTGTAGACTCATTTATTCAATAATACTGTTAAAATTATTTGCCTTAGAGCTCCAAATTTACTAATGGCATTTAGTATCTAGCAAGTGGGAGTTAACAGCTGTTGTCTTGCACTGCATAAGTCTTACAGAAGAAAATTACTCAACCTTGACATTTTGTATATTAACCTGTAGAAGTAAGTGTGTGTGTGTGACTATGACTACTAGTTTCCGCTCTCAAATGGGGGTGGGAGCAAATGTATGACCTATAATAGCAAGGGGTTAATTATCTTACCTGCAGTCAGAGGCTGCAACTGAATCTACTCTACCTGCCAAAAGAGCTCCTCTCTGTCCTAGCAGGGAACAGAAAATAAGTGAGGAAGAATCTCCCTTCTCTATGCCTTGAAAGAAGTGGATGTTAAAACTCTGACACCTGAGGTCTGCCTGCAAAAGAGGAGCACTGTGGGCTGCTCTGAAGGGAAGGCAAGCTCAGGTTACAGCTGGCCAACTAATAAAATCATCACATATCTAATGGGTAATGGAGGACTCTGACTCAGCCTACCTTTGAATGAAAATCCTTTTTGTACCCAGCGATAGAGCTGGAGAGACCAGGTAGCCCTGGACTGTGCTAAACTTTCATAACCAAGCTTATAGGTCACCTGGCATATAGAACTGTTAAGCAGAGTAACTGAAGACCCCAAAAGATGCAATCTCAATAGCCAAAGGACTGTTACTTAGCAAAGGTATAGGTGAGTTCACCAGGGGCCAGGCCTTAGAGAAAGCTCTTCATTTCAGAAACATGACCTAGCTGTAGTTCAGTGTTGCTTATCTAGTCATATATTACATTATTTTGGACTAAGTCTAAAAAAGCAACCTTAAATACTACTTGATCTTGACCAGATGCCAGATTCCACTTGCTCCAACTGAAAGCAAAAGAAGATGCAACCAGCGCCATCTGTTGATAAGTTGTGACTTCTGCTAGTAGAGTCTGTAACATAAAGGGTACAAATCAGAAACCACGGATCCAACAAATCACACCACTTTATGCTAGACTACCACATTGAAGGCAAGCTCTGGGCAAAAGATAGTGGGCCAGATTCTGGTTCCTGCTCCTTTGGGTGGCTCTGCAGCTGTCTCACCCAGGTACCTGAGGGTTCTGTATGGCGTAGATCCACCTTTGTGCCAAAAAATGTTGTCTAGAGGTAGAAAATTGGATCTTTAAAAAAAAAAAAAGTAGGTCATAGCTGTCTCACCTTCTTGTTCACGCAGACGTACTTGTAAGAGTAGTCTGATGGGAAAATGTTCACTCCAGCCTTTTTCAAAGCAATGGTCAGGTCAATTGGAGATGTCCATTTTCCTGTCAAGTGGGAAAGTTTTTCACTCCCATCCACAGTTATTGAAGACAGCATACACTGATTACCCTGTTGCATGAAGCAATAAAAACCATTTTTACTGATATTCTGTACTTCAGGCCTTTTAAAAATAATTTACTTTTTTCTCATGTCTACTTTATAAATACCTCTGATGCATACACATTCACCTGCACCCCATATCCCCAGCACTACCAACCAATAGCTGCCAGGACCAAAACTTCAAATGGGTGTCTGTCTGCACTGGGAAGGATGCATGTCTGCTATAGCCCAGCACCTCATCTGCTCTGTTCACCCCTGCCTCTAGAGTGTTCTCAGCCTAGAGAGTTTAGGATAAGTAGTGTGTCGGCACATTGCCACCATAGTGGCTCTTAATTCAGCTGGCAGTTACCTGTCAGATTTTGAGGGTAACTAGACGGTAGATTTGTGTATGTAAATCAGAGGAGGAGATTTTACACCAAGCAAGTAGCATTAAAATTGAAGAGCTACCTTTTAAGACTCATAAACTAGAGGGGGAAAGAGGGGTAATTTGTGGCGAGCTGTGCTTTGTACGATGGTCCTGAATTTAACATGGGATGGGGGGGAGCTGCAGCTTTCAAAATACATTAATTAGAACTCTGTTAGCAGTATGCTGCCTGCTGGCCCTTCTGGGCAAAAACCTAGGCTAAAGCACCAGTTCTATTCCCTACCCTGCACCTTCCCAATTCCATGATGAGAGGGGTGGGGTCAACACACAATTATCCTCACGCTTTCATCCTTACTAGGGCAGCCTGACTCAAAAATTAGCTCTGATAAATAACCATAAGGGTCTGTAGTTGAGTTGCATGTATCAAGAGATTTACTGTACCTTAATCTGCATTTGAACTTCTGCAAAAGCTGTAACAACAGTGAAAAGTAATTCATCTGTGCCATTAGGTCTCAGTTCCCATGACTGATATGGCATATTGAGGTGAGCATCCTGAAGCAGTGTGATTGTATAAAAAGCATCCATCTCAAAAGAGATTTGTTTCTCTTTCATTTTGTACTTTATGTCACTGATACCATCAGTTCTCCATTGTTTGCCTACATTATATACATATAAAAAAAAAAGAAAAAATTGTTAGAGCTGCTGCTTTTGATGGTGTTAGCACAATTCTGAACTTGGGTCAAGTGGTATGCTGAGCTCTGGAGAATCTTAGGCATGTAATACAGACAATAGATGTTAAGAGAAAGATCGTCTTACAATTGGTATCAAAATTTCTCCCTAGCCTAAAAATGATAAATGAAAACACGGATGATGGTGCACCTAACAGTCTGGGAGCTCATTTATAATAAATACTATTCTCAAACTTTAATACATAAAGAGTCAAATTCCACTTTAATGTAGATCTGGAATAACTTTACTGACATCCAGTTGGGTTACTTTGGATTAACACTGGTGTGAGAACAGTATTTGGCCTTTTAAATATATATGATTTGAAAGTAGAATTTGGCTCAAGATCTATTTATGTACTGTAATTAAATTTTCTAGCTATAATTTTTCTCATAACCATCAATGGTGTACTGTTACACTGTTGAGACTAAAATAAATGGCACAGAGGAACTGCAGCACTATTGATGGTAAGTTAGTTCTATTCAAGCCGGCTATTGTAATTTGGTTGTTTGCACATTGAGGAAAAAAACGGTTAGTTATCTCTCGTAACTGTTGTTCTTCGAGATGTGTTGCTCATGTCCATTCCACGTTAGGTTTGTATTTGCCCCATGCACTGGTGCCAGAAGATTTTCCCCAGTGGTATCCATAGGGCCAGCTCTGGCACCCTCTGGAGTGGAGTGGGTATATGCCGGTTTAAGAGGTGCCATTGTCCCTCCCCCCTCCTTCAGTTTCTCCTTGCTGGAACTCCGACAGAGGGTCAGGAGGGTGAGTCATGGAATGGACAAGAGCCACACATCTCAAAGAACAACAGTTATGAGAGGTAAGTAACCATTTTTTTTTCTTCGAGTGATTGCTCATGTCCATTCCATATTAGGTGACTCACAAACAGTGCCTCTGGAGGTAGACCAGGATTCTTGGATGCACGGATTACAAAAACTCTCTCCCAAAGCCAGCGTCATCTCAGGCCTGCTGGGTGATGAAGGCATGGACAGATGACTACGTTTGCGATCCTGCAGATGTCCTGGATCAGAATGTGAGCCAGGAATGCTGCTGACGATGTCTGTGCTCTTGTTGAATGAGCTGTTACTATCAGCGGCAGAGTAGAAAAGCACCACTGGTACAACTGCTTGTCGAAGCAAGAGGATCTTCCGCCACCATCACTGGCAGTAAGAAGGAACTGAAGGTGGGGGGAGGGCTGCCAGCACACACACCTAACATGGAATGGACATTAGCAAGAACTGGAAGAAGAACATATTTACTAAAACTGACCAGGAAACTTTGGTCAAAACATTTTTTCATGGGAATTTACTGATTTATTGAAATCAAAACATTCTTCAGACGCAGTTCAATTTTGATTAAGTTTCTCCAGAAACAAGGTAAATTCTGAAACCAGGACTTCCAGGGTATGGCACCCAGGGACGCCAGGATCTGCAGTGCTAGGACAGCATTCCAAGGAGACTGTCTCAGAGCTAGGATTCAATGCCCTTTCACAGAGAATTTTGAAATTTTGGGCTTTTGTTCCTAATCAGAATGAAATTAAATACTGAAATATTGAAATCTTTCACAAAATGAAATAACTTTCTCTGCCTTGCTCTAATATTTACACTATATGGGAGCTAAAACATGTAAATCCAAACAGTAAAGCAGAGATAATAGCCTATCGCTCTTTTAGAAAGATTTTTTTAATGGAGCCAATTGCCAAGACATATCACTTGAATGAGGACTGAAACACTATACAACATTTTCCTTACTTCTAAATAATTTACAGAAGACTGTTTGAATAAGGAAGGAACAAGATCTTGTGTCTAACCGAAATTATGCACCAATTGAATGTTAAGCTTTCAAAAATCAATGATAATGAACAGCGAAGGGCCCATCCAAACTCTGGATCTGAACTGGATCTCATCTCTATAATGGGACTTGCCAAAGTCTGAGTTCCAAATACTCCAGGAACTTTGGAAAAATTAAAATCCAGATCTGAATTCTGGGACTTGAACTTGAGAGGTTTTTGGATTTAGCATGTGTGTGTAACAGCTGGCTGAAGACTGACTGTACCTGCAGAATCCCATCTGGCAACCACAGGCTCCTCAAAAAATATCACACTGTCAAGAAGCCTAAGAGTCACCCCTATACGTGGATATGTGGCATCTTCAGTTTCTTCTGATTCTGGAGGATAGGGATATGTCTCCAATCCTACATCAAGTAACTTTGATGGAAAGGTGAAGAAAAGATAAAATGTCATGAGAAAAAGCAATAGACTACTAAATTTTGTAATCCACTTTGGTCCTCTGCAGAGTTCACTAAAATACAGTCTAAAGAGCTAAAAACTTTATATATCATTTGATAATTCTACACATCTGTGAAACTTTGAAAATTACACTTTGCTTCTTCTGCATCTTCCATCTGAGGCTCTCAAAGGGCTTTCTACAAAGACTGTACAGCCACAGAGAGGGGCGGCAGCTATTACTCCAGCCCATATGTCTGATATTCAAGTACTGCCTGCACTGGGGCTGTGTTGCAGCTCTACATGAAGGTGCTGGGTTAGAGATGGGGAGTTATGTCTCTCAGTCCGCCAATGAACATATTTACTTGAGCTAAATGCAGTTTATGTAAATTATGTCTATTAATGAGATCAGCATTGCAAAAATCCTGTGATGCAGGTAAATGTGATCTCAAATTTTACAATTGGGGAAACTGAGGCATACTGCCTAAGGACCATAAAGTCTGCAGCGGAGCCTGGAACGAAACTCAAAGCTCCATTATCACAGTCATAGGCTTTAACCCATCCTTCTGTTTATAAAATGAAGCAAGGACTTCCTTTTCTTTTAACCAACATCTTTAGGAGAATTTTCAAAGGCAGTGATTTCAGATGTTTGTGCTACCTCCATTTAATAGAACTGACTGTGTGAATACCTGTCTGAATGCACACACACCCATTATATGGATGCCACAGGTATATAAGAAAGTTTGCAGGTGCAGCTGAGGAGCATGATTTGAAAACTCGGCTTTTAATCTCAGTGCACAGAAACTCAAAAGATAGAACTGTTTGTTTATACAGTGTGAACTCTATATTGACAATCTCCAGAATTGTGGCAACTCTTTCCAGGGTGATCAGAACTAAAAAAAGAGATTCATTGGGTGCAATTTTGCTTCAGAGCTTGACCTACTTCCACCATGATCCAGCCTTTGATTTGTTTGGCTTGAGGTGGGAGCTTCAGTGCATCAATAAGGTACACTCCACCCACTGGTGTGAACTGGTGCAAATCAACTATATTTTCGCCAATTATCTCTTCTTCTTTTTCATCAGTGGCCACCTGCAGTGGTGCAACCTGCACTAAATAACAACCAAATATCATGTATTAATTCAATGTCTGAATAAAGTACCAAGATTTCAAATCCCAAATGCTTTTTGCGCATACAGCGTCTAAATGTACTTAAAATGGCTTTCTACTCTGCAACATCTCAGCGCCACCTACTGGTGGTCTACGGATTTTTTAAAGGATTCATTGGAATGGATAAAACTAGACGGACAACAAAAATGAATAGAAGGCTTATTCAGGGCTGGACCTAGGTTTTGTGGGGCCTTAAATTAAGAACTGTAGGGCCCCCAATTATAATTAGGCATGTGGCTGATGTGCTAGCTATGGGCACTTGGTGGCACAAGTACTCCTGTTCTTTGTAACCAAGGCACTCTGTAGCTGCATAGACCTATGACCACCACGGGATTTACTAATCTATACCTAATGATTGCACCGTCTTCTCATGTTTTTAGGACTGAGATTTTAAAGAGAAGGGTGCATTTCTCCTACTACTAGGGCCTGATTCTGTAAGTGACTTCATGGGTCTGCTCAAGCAGATTCACCTACAGAATCAGGGTCTTAGTTATAATTTGTGCAACCTCAATAAATGCAATGGAGTTTCACAACAGTAAATGACAGAAGAATCTGGTCTGGAGTCAGTGAGGTTGCACTGGTTATAACTAACAGGAAGAACTTGGCCCCCATGTTATATAAGATCCTACAGGGGTTTTGGAAAGTGCATGTAAGGCAGACATGGGGTCACAAACTGAAGTTAGAAAAGGAAGATACTTAACCTAGTAAGGGATGGAGGGTGATCAATCTGTGAAACAAAATTCCTTAGAGAATCCGCAATGGTGGATTAGAGGAAATTCCTTACCAAAATTCGTAAGAGACTTTCCAATGGTGAATGTTTTTTAAAAGTTCTAAGCACTTAAAGAAAATAATACAGGATTTTCACCCTGTAATAATATCATGTAGGTGGCTGGATGGTCACTAGCAATGTTCAAAAATGCATGAAAAATATGTTAGATATCATAGTATAAGGAAGACAATTTATTATGAGGATCCACTTAAACTCTGTTCAATAACACAAGATAAAATAACTGTATTATAAAACTTGCTAAATAAGAGACTGTATTTTTTTAAAAATGAGGTAATCTCAACAAACTAAAAATATCCAGTGTAATGTGTTTCCAGGTCTTTTTAGAGTGGGATGGGAAAGGGTTGCTAGTTTTATCTGAATACTATATATGCTCACATATTTTATATATAGTTTTTGTAGTATACTGTGTGCATACTACAATTTAAGCTCTCTGTATACTTATTAATAGTATAGTATACTAATCTATGTAGTAAATCCACTGTACTATTAACTACAACTTTGGCTTTCCTTTTTTTTTAAATAAAAAAAATATTTAAACCTCTTCTAAACAAAACTAAATACTTGTTCTCCCAAGCTAAACCATTGAGATCTTTTTTAACACTTGTAAAAATATATTCAAGATAGAGAAGACACTTTGCTCTTTACATACATTTTCACACTAAAAAAAATGAAGAAAAAAGACCTTAAACACATAAAAATAATTATGCCATTTCTGGGCACAGGTCTTAGTTAATATTAAGGCTGGGATTTTTAAAGGTGCTTAATGTCTAAAATCCACGCCTTGGAAAAATCCCAAGGGAAATACCTACCTGTGTGGTCCATAGATGTGAACCTGACAGTTTGGTTGCTGGGGCAGCACCCACAGGAAAGTTCTTTTAAAAGGCTCTATAGCTCAGATAATCAATGCTGCACAACACAGAGTCATCTTGTTTTAGAAGAAAGTGTAAAAAATAAATCAATGATTTTACTAAACTAAAGGATCTAGAAGTGTTGGAGAAATTGATGGCTGATTTATATGAGAAAGAAGATTACAACTAGCACTGGTCTCTTTCCTGGGATTATGGCCCTGATTCAGCTAAGCATTTAAGCACCTTACTTAAGCATGTAAAAAGTTGGGCAGCAGAATAAGAGTAATTTAGAACTGCCTGTTAACCTACAGGCCATAGAAGCTACTAAGAGTAAAAAAGCCATTGTATTCCTTTGGGATATTACTTGGAAGAGATTCAGATTAACAGAGATGGTATTTTGACAGCCCTCTAATGGCAAAACCATCAATATACAGGGACTAAGTAAGGAACTATTCCTGGGCTCCCAGTTATCCATAAGCTTCATTAACTGACAATCTTAGCCTAACTCAAAAACAAGGGAAGAACCTTATTCAGCCAAGACAGATACCTCGCTGGAACCTCAAGACACCTGTAATGTATTATATTTTATAAATATATAAAATGAGAACAATATCTACGTCATCTTTGTTCTGTCCATGTAGGTGTTGGGGCTACATTATATACACTAGCTTTGTATGCTCCAGTGTTTGCCTAGAGTAAAATCAGACGTTTATATAATTCTGCAATACTCCATGTAAAATCTGAGTACCTCCTGAAATGGTGCTAACATTTTCTGATTTCTTATCAGATTCCTCTTCTAGCTTCTCATTTTCATCAGGATCAATTTTAATGCTGTCTTTGAAAGAGATGGCACTCTATTTAAAAAGTAAAATATCGTGTTTTTAGATTACAGTGAGACAGGCACAATTAAAAATAGTGTAGCTTCTCTTTGAAAATGAGAACCTCAGGAGAAGGAGTAAGGTCCTCATCATGCAATGAGATGTGCATGAAGCTCACTGGAGGAATGGGGCTGTAGGGTAGGAATATCCAGAATGCATCATTATGACACTTTTTAATTTGCTAGCTGACAAAACCAGATTTTGGTACAAAAATCAGGCAGTCTGGATTTTGTCTAAGTCAGGTAATCAGCTTTACATATTAATATATAAATAGAGAGAACACATGTAATAATTAATTGTATTTCTATAGCAACTTCCCTCCAAAAATCCCAAAGCACTTTTCAAATATTAATGAATTCAGCCTCACAGCACTATGTGAAGTACGTATTACTAGCCTCATTTTTCTGATGAGAAAGCTAATGCAGGGCCAGAGATAGGAACTGTAATAGAAACAAACATAGAACTCAGATATTATGACTTTTGTTTGTACTATGCTATGAGACTTTTCATTCCTTTCATTGTTTCCCCTTTTAACAAAGTTATTTAAGTTTTGGATTTCCATCCTAGATGTACCCTCACCCCTGTTGTGGCAGACTTCTGGGAAGCATAGCAATGGGGAAAGTAGCCAGGCACTCATTGCATATTTGTTTCCCCTCCGCTAGGTGGATTAAAGTGCTTCTCCGTACACACTGTGTGATGGAATTGTGGCAAGAGGCAGCCTGCAGACTTGTATGAAATGCCTGCCCTGCAGGGGAACAGAGAGAGACCATGCAGCAACAGAAAGAAGGACAGAACTAGAGAAAAAAATTGGGGGAAGGGAAAATCTCAGGGTAAACAGAACTATAAGAGATATCCTAGGTGAGCGACCTGGGTTGAGAGAAGCGGATCCCTGAGGTGGGAACAGGAAAAGAGTGAGGACTGCTAGAGAGGGAACAAGACTTGGAAGAGAGAGGAGAAGAGTGGGAGAAAGAACAAGATAGGGAGCTTAATGAGGAATGAAAAGCAAAAGCCAGAAAAATATATGAGAAAGGCAATAAGACAGGTGAGATGTGTCATGGTGTAAAAGCAGGGTTGCCAACCCTCCAGGATTGTCCTGGACTCTCCAGGAATTAAATATTAATCTTTAATTAAAGATTATATCATGTGATGAAACCTCCAGGAATACGTCCAACCAAAATTGGCAATCCTATGTAAAGGAAGCAGGGAGTGGGGATGACCTGCCTCAGGCACTGCTTTGCAGCAAATGTGGTGGAGGGAGACACAACAAGGCCAGGAACCACTGCTGTAAATATATGACAATAAGATGTCAAAATGGTAGTTTACAATTATTTATCTAAAAAGTTGGGCAGCAGAATAAGAGTAATTTAGAACTGCCTGTTAACCTACAGGCCATAGAAGCTACTAAGAGTAAAAAAGCCATTGTATTCCTTTGGGATATTACTTGGAAGAGATTCAGATTAATAGAGATGGTATTTTGACAGCCCTCTAGTGGCAAAACCATCAATATACAGGGACTAAACAGCCACAACACCAGAGTAAAGACCCATTCCATTCTAAAACCTACTTTGCACCCCTTCAGACTGTCCTGACACTGTTGGACTCTTGTGTGTGGTTTGTGGGACACTGAATTTTCTGTAAACAGAATCAGTTCATTCTAATACTTATTAACATTTTTGAATGACCCTCTTACAGTGATGTCTTACAATTTTATCTGGTATTATCCATGCCCTGATCCACACCAGTCACAGATCTTGATTCCTACTACAACGTTCCATCAAAACAGTCATTTCTACTCTCCAATTGCTGTTCTTTCTTTTCTCCTTCCCCTATCTCTCAAGATTCATGGCAGTCCAGCCAGTGTGGCAATCTGTGTGCTGTGCCCTAAGCTGAGGATGGTCACTTCAAATTCCTAAGAATTTGGCCTTTCCCTCGCTTGTGGTCTACAATGGATGGTGCAGCTACATAGCCCCCAAATTTGTAAGATTGCAATTTGTTCATCTCACACCTTGTGCAGCTTCAGAGCTTGCCAGTCTTGGTAAACCCAACCAATCTCAAAAGGTAGGTGGTTGAGAAGATAACCAGAAATGAGAAGGACTACAGGGAAGGGTGTGACTGCAAGGAAGGGAGAAGGTTTAGGATACTTTGGGTAGTTGCAAGGAACAACCCATGCCACTGGAGTGGGTAGAAGACGACTGGTTACCCAAAAGTCTTTGTGGAATTGGCTCAAAAGGTTCCGTGTTTTTGTATCTCACCCTACATCCTGCTACAGCAGTTAAGATTGACTGAGATGCTCTTGCTGTCAGGTCCTTGATTTGAATTCTGCAGGACTGCCCCAGAGCATTCTCCAGTTGAGAATCACTAGCTTTGGCATGTTCTAGTTTTGGTGGCCTGCCTGAGCTTGGGTTTGGTAACCTTCAGGGCATGACGTACATTTTATGTGATATGGCATGTAGCTGATTTAGTTTGGTCTTGTTTTTTGTTTAGTTGGTGGTGGCAACAGTGCTTATGGATAGCTTTGTCACCTATGGAGCTAAATTCTATATGGTGCAAATAACAGAATTTGGTTCTATCTGGTTTTAGTTTTTGTATCTAAGTGCTTAGATACTACAGTTTAAAAGTGTTTTAAAAATTCACTATAGGACAAATCTTGAGATATTTAGTTCTTACTTTGTCCTCCTCAAAGAAAACTCCCGTTAACTTCAAGAAGAACTTCACCTGGATAAAACTTGAGTTAAGATCTCAGGATTTGCTCCCTTACCTTTTCAGGGTTTATCCATACTGAATCTCTAGTACTTTTGAGGTAGGCCCATTACTAGTTATAAGGAACTCAACTGCAAGACCTTCTCCAAAAAGGAGGAATTCTTTTATAAGGAGAATGAACATTTTAAGGACTTTTTTTGTTTTCTGAGGCACAAGGGAGACATGTAAAGATCTGTTAAGATGTAATACTATGCAGCTGGGCATTAACTGACAGCACTGTCCATGCTGTACTTTTTACATCTTTCTTACCTTTCTTCCATCAGATTCCTTTTCAATTACCAAGTCGCTATCTTCTCCACTCTTTTGTTCCCCTTCTTTTTCTTCTTTCATATCATAAAGCACAGTTAATTCTTGTTTGCTTTCTGGGGCTTGCACTTTTAAATGCAATTTAGGAATGCATTGTAGTGGGGAAATATGATCATAATGAGTGTGCAAGATGCGGACAGCAACATCACTTGTGGCCACTGTCTTTGGAAGGTCAAATCCATTTTCTGCATCACTAAACATATGATTTTTGAATCTGTAAACAGAGAATTAAAACAAAAGAATTCTCTAGTAAAGTCAGTATAATTTATTTTTACATCACACTTCAATATTCCAGTACATTAATCACAGTAATACAGGCACCTATGTTACCTTTTACCATATGCCACAGTCTGGGGAACAAAACTGGAGAAATGAGTTAGATGGTCATCAAATGCTCACCCAGCACTGAGAGCTGCCACAAGCCCCTCCAAGATAGCTATAACAGAATTAAAGGAATTAAGCTCTGCATGCAGTTAAGGATTATGGCCAGGCAGAGCGGGGAGGGAGGGGAGTCAGTTCTATATAGCATCCGCATAGGTAAATTGGACTAATTTATTAGGCACATTTCTGCATAGATTACTGCAGCTGCTGTCTGTATTAAGTCCCTCTCCACAGTTAGCACAAACAAGCTGAGGTGGCACTTAAGGTAAAGGGAGCCAAGCTAGGAGAACAAGCACATCACCTCTGTGCCACTGTAGGAAATGGGCTAGAAGGCATACAGAAGGAGATCAATTCTGTGTCAAATCAGGTACCCAAGAACTTGGGCCTTTTTTCCCCATGGATCTTTGGCCTGCCATAGTATGACTGGAGGTCCCATTTCTGACCAAGCAGACAGAGACCTGTTCAAATGAGAACTCTCCTTCTGCCCATTTTAATACAAGAAGATATTGGCTAGAATTATAAAATCTTCCACCCATAAGCCTCGATGTTTTGCTTAGGAACACTGGGTGAGATTCTGAGCTGTGCTTTAAAAGGTGCAGCACATTCTGTGCCCAATCGAAGGATGCTAATGTAACATCAAGCCACTTTTATGCTCTCCTGATTCAAGACTCCTTTGCTGCACACAGAATAATGTCAACAGCCCTAGGGGGCATAAGTTACAGAAGCCTCCCTAGGCTGCCCTATAGGCTGCAGTGCTGTCCTAACACTCCAGAGTGCTGCAGCCCTGCCCCAACATAGCCATCCTACCCCCAGCAGACCCCCTACGCTAGGGCTTGCAAGGGAGTCCTCAGAAGGCAGTCTTACAGCTGTCTTCCACAGTTCCAGTGTCTGGCACACTCCCTACTCCTTCCAGGCAGATAAGGGCCACTTGTGGAATAAAGTGCTACTCAACATGAATAAGGGTTGTCAGAAACTGGTCCTGAGTCTTTATTCCATAGAGACGTACAAAGATAGAGCTAATTTGAAATAAGGTCACTTTTGTACTGTACCTTGGATTCTTCTTGAGGTTTCCCCAGATACAGAAAGTGATATTTTTATCTTTTATAGCCACCTCCATATTTCCACTGTCAGAATCTGCGTAAGTATTAGCCTTCTACAAAAAACAAATCAGCATATTACTCTAAATTAAACTAGGATGGAGTTGATGTACTTGAACCTGATGACAGAACTGCTATTGTCTTTGCACTCAGAACGATTAAAAAGTTGAGCAAATATTATAAATTCTTAGGATAACATCTGAATTAAGTAAAATCTACATGTGATAATTTGTAATGGCCTATACAAAATTTAAAACTATAAAACTTTCTTCAGTGTGATCACTAGCTTAAATGTTAAAAAGTTATTGATTACTGTATAACTTACTTCAGTGAATTAACTGATCACATTTATGACATATTTCTTATCTGCCCTAGAAAGACGGAGTCTTCCCCTTGTTCTTGCTAAGTGGGGACTTGCCACTATAATGGTCAGTTCTTGCATTCCTGTAAAAAGGCCCAGAAAACCCACTTGTTCTGTGATACACTCTAGTTATAATGGCCACACATTATCCTTAGTTTAGGTGCATGGCATTGTATTACAGCCACTCAATGCCTTTAGCCTGTAAATTCCAGGTAGTCAGTGGGTTCTAGCCCACGAAAGCTTATGCCCAAATAAATTTGTTAGTTTCTAAGGTGCCACAAGGACTCCTCGTTGTTTTTTGCTCTTTTATCTGGTACACTTGAGCTGTGATAAAGTCTTGTGCACACCTATCAGAATTACATAAATCAAATAATAGTAATCCAGTATCTATAAGGCACCCATTATTGTGGTATTTGGCTGCACTTCACATCACTACTAACAACTTCTCAAAACTGAGGAGTGTATATTTTGACGCCAATATGTCCTCCTTTTTGGCAGCTTCTCGCATAGATATCGTCACATATTTTTCTATACTGCTGCTTATGCATAAAACATCCTATGTGTAATGATCCCCTTCCTTCAAATCTATTTAAGTAACCTTAGAGCTAGCATTTTATACTTATTGAAGATTCTCCAAAGTTATAAAATGTAAAGAGACACTGGGACAAACTGGTAAGCGATAGGTTAATTTGACTTCAGCTGTGTTAGCTTACAAATCTGCTTTCTCCACCAAGGACAAGAAGTGGGAGTAAGGCAGACGTACTCACAAGAATGTCAGAGGCAGCTATTTTTTTGAAAACCCCTTTTCATAAAGTTATATCAGAGCAAGACAAAATTCTATTACACCCTTACAACCAGTAACAGGATAACAAGGCTGTTTGTTAAGAGCTACTGTGCATCCAGTCGCTCACAGAAACAAACACATAATAAAAATCTACAATTTTTAAAAATACGGTTCATCACAGAATATACAAATATTAAAATATCAGCGCGAAATAGAAAGAAGCAGCACATTTTGATAAGTATATTCAGACAGTGCAAGGATAAAGTGAAAGCTGACCTGTGGCCATTAAGATTGTAGGTTGAAGATCAAAGGAAGAGCTAACTGTAACCTGAAAGATGACCACTATACTATCAAGGAAGTGTTCTGTCTTCATTCATTCTGTGTTCAGATACAAAAGGAGCAACATGTAGAGAGAAAGTAACATGAGGGATACCAAGATGGGAACTGAGAAGTTCTTTCATAAGAGCAACTCCCATCAGGCTGGGAATTCTAGTTCAGTAGACCAGTGCCAGGCAGAAATACCCTACTACAGTGTTAGAGAAAGCCATATCTGAATTTAGAGAAGATTATACAGACAGTTTTGGAAATTCAGTTATTCCTGTTGGTACCATTGGACCAAATGGCACCAGGGACCAGACCCTGGCAGAGAACCAAACTGAGGTTCAAAGGAGTAAACAAGTTAACAGCTCCCTGTATATATACAAATCATCTACATCTTTTACCACAGAATCCTGACAACCAACATCCATCAAATGCTGAATCTTAAGACAGACTAAGTATTTGCATCCTCATGCTCATTTTAAGTAGTATACTTGCCTGTATTAAAATACATAGCTTCCACATCTGATCTCCAAATGAGAAATTTAGACAACTTCTGACCGCTGTCACTGGCGATGAAGCCTGACACTACACCCTCTGTTGTTCTTATTGCAAAGTGACAGACATTCATTAAATTTCATATAATAACTATAAAGAAAATACTGGTTAACAAATTTGATTCATTTTAAGTATTTTTTTTTACCATTTGTTTTTAGTTGGTTAACAGAAACTTTTAACTTTTAAGTCTGTTAACTTCAAATTATTAAACCAAATTACCAATAATCACAACTGACTTTTTAATTGAATGTACAGTGTGACAACTCCAGTAAATGATATCTGGCTGATTTTCTCAATGAAATGTACGGAACTGTTTTTATACACTAAACTGTATTTTACATTTGCTCCTCTGATTTCTTGCTGTTTCGATGGCAGTAATGATGACCAGAGTCTAGTTTACCATATACAGTGCTCTTACTCCTTGGCCTTGAATTATTTTGGCTAAACAGTACTAATTAATGGGGGAGGTGGGGTTTACTGGAGGAGAATCAGCCTTATAATAAATTACTAAAAGTTTAAGACTTTGCATAACTCAACTTTCAAGTAACCTCTAGCTTCCACAAGAGTCTGAATCTCATTGTGGCATAGTATAAAGTGGTGACCTTTTATAATTCAAGATAAGCTACAAGATTCTATAAAACACTAAATCTAGGTGTGACTTATTGTTAGACACAAATGTCCCTGTTTGTATGAACAGCTTGTTCATTTGTAGGAAGACTGTGCCAAGGGCGTAGTAATAATTGGTTAAGTTTGGAGAGTGCTTTCTGAAACTAGATCATCCGTATTTAGAAGTTCCCTGTGTGTGTCCAGGAAGAAAGAGCAGTGAGAGGAATTTGTAAGGTATGAAAGAACAGAATTTCCAGAGATAAGGACAAGCATTATAGCCAGTTCAAAGTAAACAAATAGTCAGGTTTGAAAATCAGGTATTAAAATGGCAGAAGAAGCAGATTACTGACTGAAATAAGCAAACAGAAACTGTAGAAAGTTAAGTCAAGCAGCTAGAGGTGTTGCAGATTAAGAATACACAACTCATTACCCAGACAGACTTGGTCAATGAGTAAATAAAACCACTACAGATGCTCAGAACCACTGTGAAAGGAAACCAAGCTCAAAATATATATAACGTTGTGCAAAAATTAAAATCTTCCATTGTTGTTTGCAGTGTTGTAGCCGTGTTGGTCCCAGGATAGTAGTGAGACAAAGACCAACTTCTGTTGACAACAAAGACAAGCTTTCGAGCTTACACAGAGCTCTTCTTCAGGTTATTAATTAATATCAGTTCAGAAACAGCTTCATCTCCAGTTAACCATTAGCAAAATATGTAAGTGAAAGGTAATGGGGCTGGAAGAGGAGCTTAGCAGGGCAACAAATATTATAGGGGAAAAAATGAGAGCGTATCAGAAGCAAAACCTTCTATGAGCAGCTGAGACAAATGCGTCTTGCTCAGAACAGACATAATCCTGATGATGAAAGATTATAAGAGGAGCTTTTTGAGTTTACTTGACAACTTAAGGGATGATACGAAGTATTATTTGTTCATCGAGATACCAGGCTTTAGGCTAACACACACAGCAAATGGATTCTGGTCTACAAAGCCGTACTCAAAAAGTAATGAAGTCCGGGCACTTGCATACTATACTTCTGCTGCAGAGACCATTGATGTCCATGTCAAACTGAAAATGGAGTGGGGAGAACACCTTATTCTTAGTCTTCACCCTTATTCCAGCGCAATGGACAGGGACAGAAATGTAAGCAGAAAAATAGCTATGAAGAATATAATTTTTTCAACTGACATCATTAAAGGAACTACCAGAGGGCTATAAAGATGAGTCCCAGAGAAGATGTGGAAAATGAATTCAACATTGAGTTTAATCCCTACTTATTAATGTAATAAATAATTATTAATATTAGCCTCATAATGTATTTGATAGATTTTAATGTGTTTAATTGATGTTAGAGAATTGTGGTGAGAGTTCACCTTACACAAATGATAGCTGAATGTGGAAAATAGTTTGGCATATGTGTTAGGCAAACTTAAAAAGGCAAGGCTTAATATAACTTCAACTGTGTTCACTAAAAATTCCTTTCTCAATAATTCAGTATGAGACAGAAATACCCTGCAGCATCAGAAAAAGCTATTTGAACTAGAGAATCCAGACACCTTTGGGTGACGCCTACCAATCCCTGCCAGTACCAGTGACCAGACCAGAGGGAAAACAGAACTGGATCTTTATGATACCAAGTAACAAAATCTTGAAAGTGAAATCTTTTTCTCAGATGAGTAGTGTCATTGAAGTCAATGGAACTACTTAGATCAGCAAGGCAAACAGGAGTTTATTTTGTGGGAGGTATGTGCATGCCACGTGCACAGTTGTCAGAAAGTTTTTCTCCTAGCAGCAACTGTCGAGTCGACCGTGGAACCCCCTGAAGTGGCGCCTCCATGGCACTCAATATATGACCCTGCTGACCCGGAGCCTCCTCAGTTCCTTCTTGCCAGTTACTCCAATAGAGGGAAAGGCTGGTGGGTTTGGAATGAACAAGAGCAACACATCTCAAAGAATAGTTACAAGAAGGTGAGTAACCATTTTTCTTCTTCGAGTGATTGCTCATATCGATTCCAATTAGGCGACTCCAAAGCCTTACTAGGCGGTGGGGTCGGAGTTATGGAATTGCTGATTAGAGCGCCGCTCTGCCAAAAGCTGCATCATCTGTGGCATGCTGGACAATGGTGTAATGAGAGTTGAACGTGTGCACCGAGGACCAAGTTGCTGCCCTGCAGATTGCTTGTATCAGGACCTGGGCCAGGAACACCGCTGATGAGGCCTGAGCCCTTGTGGAGTGTGCTGCAAGAGCCGGGGCTGGTATTTCGGCCAACTCATAGCACATGCAGATGCATGACCTGATCCAGAAAGACATCCTTTGAGATGAGACCCGGAGTCCTTTCATCCAGTCTGCCACTGCTACAAAAAACTGGTTCAACTGCCTGAACAGCTTAGTGTGCTCGATGTGGAAGGCTAGTGCCCACTGAACATCCAGGGAGCGGAGCCTCTGCTCACAGCTACTGGCATGAGGCTTAGGATAAAAAAACAGGCAGGAAAATGTCTTGACTAGTGTGGAAGTGTGACACAACTATAGGAAGACAGGCTGGGTGACGACAGAGTTGCACCATATCCCTGTGGAAAACCGTATAGGGTGGGTCAGGGGTAAGGGCCTTTAACTCAGACACCCTCCTTGCTGATGTAATGGTGACCAGAAAGGCTACCTTCCACGACAGATAGAGAAGGGAGCAAGTCACCAGTGGTTCAGATGGGGGCCCCATTAGCCTGGAGAAGACCAGGTTAAGGTCTCATGCGGGAACAGCCTGTCTAATCTGGGGATGAAGCCATTCCAGACCCTTGAGGAACTGACCAACCGTAGGGTTGGCAAAGATGTAGCATCCAGACACTCCCAGGTGGAAAGCCGAGATAGCAGCGAGGTACCTTCATGGATGACGCTGCCAGGCCTTACTGTTTCAGGTGCAGAAGGTACTCTAAGATGAGAGGCATAGGTGCCTGAAGAGGGGGTGTATGATGCTGGTCACACCAACAAGTAAATCTTTTCCACTTTGCCAGATATGTGGCTCTAGTGGAGGGCTTCCTGCTGCTGAGTAGGACCTCCCTTACCTGTTCCGAGCACAGAAGCTCCATGGAGTTTAGCCATGAAGCTTCCAGGCCATGAGGTGGAGGAACTATAGGTTGGGGTGATGAAGATGACCATGGTCCTGAGTGACCAGGTCGGGAAGGAGAGGCAACATGATCGGGGTGTCCACCCATAGTTCCAGCAGCGTGGTATACCAGTGTTGTCGAGGCCACTCTGGTGCCACCAGAATTATCTCTGCCCCATTCCTGCAGACCTTGAGGGACAAAGCATTGCCGGTTTGCCTCGAGACTGTGCCACATGTTGTCTGGGGTGGATGGTAGTTCCATCTCCTCAGTGACCTGGCTCAGGGAGTCCAACGGCACTGGATTCGATGGTCCCCCTTGCGGGGCTGAAGTCGACGGTGCCATCTCCAAAGTTTTTGGCACTGGGTGCTCTTCCATGGGATGTGCCCTCTTGGCCGGCTCCGAAGGGGTGGGTCTCGGAGTCAGAGATCCACTCCTCCCCTGCTTCCGGTGCTGCTTCGGCGCCAGGGAATGGGACCGGTGCCGGGTTGATCTCGTCAGTTTCGGTGCCAGGGAGTGGTGGTGCCATGAGTCTCTTCCAGAGTCCTTCTGTGGTGCCGCTTCTACCACTGCTGCCGGGGCACTGTACATCGATGAGCTTGGTGCCACGTCTTGCTGCACTGATGTGGGTTGCAGTCTAAGTGCCACCTCCAGAAGAAGCTGCTTGAGGTGAAAGTCCCACTCCTTTTTCGTTCTGGGGTGAAACCCTTTACAAATCCTGCACTTGTCTGCTTGCTATGCTTCCCCCACACACTTTGTTGCAAGACTTGCAGGGTTTGAACCCTTGGGATTTAGGCATACCTCAAGTCCCCAAGGTGGAATGCCGTCAGGGTGAATGGGAAACCCTCCACTCCCAATAGCTATCTGCTGTAACAACAGAAAACCACTTAAACTAAACTTAACTAGACTTGTAATAACTCTGAACTACACTAAACTGAAAGGCTAGGGAAAACGAGGAGAGCTTGCTAAGCAAGTCACCACAGTTCTAATGACTGTCACTGGTGGTAAGAAGGAACTGAGGAGGCGCTGGGTCGGCAGGGTCATATATTGAATGCCATGGAGGTGCCACTCCGGGGGGGTCCACAGCTGACCCAATGGGTGCTGCTAGGGGAAAAACTTTCAGACGACTGTGCACACCTAATTGGAATCGATCTAAGCAATCACTTGAAGAAGAATACTTAGGTTCCATAGCTGAGCTTGAACTTTTGAATCCTGACACTGAAACTAATAGCTGACTCTAAATAATCTGCAGTTCCTATGCCAGATTGGTAGATGTTTCATATTTAATGTAAAACTACCAATGGTAAATAAATGATTGCTTATCATTAATCTAATTTGTTAGCAGAGCTGAGCAATAATGGAAAAAATATTTCTTTGAATCTGAAAGTGAATTTTGATTTGAGCAAGCCTGCAACATTTTTGTGGTCTCTTTCCTGAAACATTTCAGCGGTGAAATGAATGTGACTAGTGACGATACTTTTGAAAATGAAATTTTAGATTGAATACTTCATATTAACTCAAAGGGAATTTCTAATTGCATAGCTGATTATAAAAATTACAGTTCACCCTGTGTTGATTAATTATGTTTGTTGACAATGCACAAAACAAAAAAATAAAAAAGGTAAAATTAGTCAAATAAAAGTATTCATTGTGAATTATTCATTAGTTCTAATATCAGTAATTTTAAGTAGCGTGTTTTCCTTGCTCAAAATAAAACCTTTACTAGGTTAAATCTGTTTATTTCAGTACTTGAATAGTTAAACCAGACTATCACTGAGTCACAGCTAACTTGTTAATGTTGCTTCATGAATGTAATGCATGATGTCCTCGGTAAATGTAGTCGGGTTGATTTTCTCCAATGCAATGTATTAAATTGGATTTTACATACTGTGCTAAATTACTGATTTACTCATTTGATTTCTTGCTATCTGACTGAAAGAAATAAAAGTAGAATCTAGTTTGCCATATAACAGAGTCCAAAGTCCTGTGTCTTAAATTATCTTTACTTTAGGAGAATTGGCCTTCTGAAAAAACTTTTAAAAGTTTAATAAAAACTTTAAAGTTACTTTTAACTCCATAAAATTTAATAAAGCAAAAAACACATAACACAGAAAAAAGAATACACTATAGCAATTACAGCTGGGTCACATTGCATTTATTTGTTAAGACATAAGTTAACATCATAGATTCAGTAACACAAAATATTATATATTTGCAAAAGGGCCAAGGTTGCTTTGCATTTTGTACTCCTGTAAGTTTTCAATTCTAACTAAGTTCCCACATCAGCATAAATTCACCCAACAAGGCATTACCAAATGTAGGGCCTGATAGTCCCACCCTTACTTAAGCTGAATAGTCCCTTGCGCAGTAACCTCCGCGGAACTACTCATGAAGTAAAACACTATTCAATGTGAGCAGAATGAGAGTATTGTTGGATATGCGCCCATTTCACAGTCCTGGGCACATTTTACCAATATATAATATTAAAAAGAAAACAAAACTTGTTGACATTGTCTACCTGAAGGGCCAAAAAGATTTACATTTGCTTACTTTACATAGGGTTTTGGATCAGGTTGCATATGTCTAAGTTACTCAGAATGGTTAAAAGAACTTTGAGTCAAAGCCAGAGCAAGAGAATTAAATAAAATTGGTTCAATATCAACATATTTGATGTCTAAGACTGAATTCATGAGGCTTGATTCCAGCTCATAGCCTATTAAATAGTCAATTTCCTATTTACCTAACAATTTGTTGCAAACATACAACCACTTCCTTCCACTTTTTCTTATTCTTTCTCCTCTCTACATTTGTTTTCCTACCACCATCCTCTTGCTAAACATACATAATCCACTACAGAATCAACTGTTTAAATTAGCATGCAAAGTAGATCACCATTTCATATATACAGTGTTTTTCCTATATGTATATTAATCTTATGTATATTCTTCAATTCAGATAAAAATCTCAATTTAAAAAGTCTGTCACACAAACTTGTGTAAAAGTTTATCTGCCAAAGATTATTTTAAAAACTTAATATTTTGCATTTAATCACTAAATATTTGTGTAATCAATGGTTACTGTTAATTTAAATCATGGTGACAGTTAAGGCCAGGATTTTCAAAGACCTCTTAATTCCCTTAGTGTCAAATCACACTGAAATACCCAGTTCCCACTGAATTGAACTTCCTTAGGTTAATTTAAAAATTCTAACCTCAAATACTGTGAAGGAGAGGTCCTCAGAAACATCAGTCCAGTACATGATTATGTTTGAGCTGTAGAAGTTTATACAGTAGTCTGTATCACAGTGTAAAAAAAGTCACTTTTGCAAATTAACCTAATGTACAAAACTGTTACTTTCCCATTGCCCTTGATAGTTCATGAATAACATTTGAAGACTAACAACTAAAATACAAAGTTTACTTACTTTAAGTAGGCGTTCTGTTGCTTCATTGTATTTCTGATGAAGAAGACTCTGCAATTCCAGAATTGATTCCTGGTATTGAATGATGACCTTTTCCTTTAGCTCATTTGGCGGTGTGTCCAATAACAGAAAATACAACTTCTCAATTAACTAAAAGACATTAAACTTTTCACATTAGTTTTACGATCATATCATAGCAGTTTAATTTCCTTTTTTGGGGGTGTAGGATGGGAGAATGATTTCTTTTCTTCTGATTTCAGATATCATATATAAGGTATCCTGTTCTCTGTTAAAATATGAGCTGAACTTGCTTCTTTTGCATATATACAAATATTGGTTACAGGAATTCTCTATTATACAACTAAAAACTATGTGAAAAGAACATTATTAAGGTTTCAAAATTAGGAAATGCTTGTGCAACCTTAATTTAGCCCCTTTGTACATACATATGATGATACAGTCTTTAATTATGTCATCACACACTATTTTTTTCACAGGATCCCTCCCACATTCAGTGCAGGACTGACTTGAGCAAGAAAAATTTCAGGGCACAGAAACTCTGCTTAGGACAGAGTTATATTTCTGTTTATTTGGTCTGTTTGTTCCAGGTTTTCGTAAAAAAATATTTATTATTTTCTAAACGTGTCACAGCTATGACAGGGACAACCAGTAGGATCGAAAACAAGTGCTACACAGCTAATAAGAGGCTTCCTGTTGGCTCATAAAGCAGTGCTGTCTACAGACAACAAAGTTCCTGGTCTGAGTCTCAGCAATTCCAGACTTAATTTTATATGTGTGGATGCTGGCAGGACAACTCCACTAATTGATTAAGTCTACTGGAGTGACTAGCCATGAATTTAAGCAATATCTTTCTCTGGAAGTTCTCTAATTCTATTTTGGAGATCTATGTTTTGAACCTGAACCAAAACTCTTACACCTCAGGCCAGAGGAGACTCAAAGTAAAATGTATTTGCTTAGTGTCCTGGAAATAGAATACTGGGATATACTCCAAGTTCCCTGTTTTCACATCAGAGATCTCATCATGCCAAAAACAGATTTTTATATTAGTGATGTTGGTGCTGATTTTGTAAATTATGCTATTTTTGTAAGTGAAAGTTTTGAATGTGTGAGAGTATGATGCCATGCAACTCCAGCCATCAGAAGAACATTGACAGTTTTAAGGCTTCTTCAGATGAATTTTCCTTGTTCTTGTGGACTGAATGTGCTTTATTGACTGCCATTTGCTGATAATCAAATCTATTTTGTCACCTTAACTATAATGAGCACCTACTGATGTCCATTATAATCTGAATTCTCCCCTAATTTAAACTGTCATATCTCAAGAATGATTTATCCATTTCCCCTCTAGACTATTCAAATGAAAATTCTCCTCTCACAGAAGAACACACATGAGAAATTTCAAGCATACCGTGTTTTGACAAAGTCTGTGGTGTGGGGAGGAGGTTGGTCAAAATCAGGAATTTAATGGAAAGCTATTTTTGTAGCCTTAATTCTGGAGAAAGTTCTCTTCCGCTAATAACAATCTCAAATTTGAATTTCAAAAATTTGTTCCTAATAGGAACAAATATGTCAACAAAATTTTTAATCTACAAGATAAACCAAAATTCGAGATTTGTATAAATGCTCCAATCACAAAGTTGCTTGCAATAAGATGATGATATTTGGCACATCTAACAAACTAACACTCATCCATCCTGATGTCTACAATGCTTGCCTGAGATTAAATGTCAAATGTTTATTAGATATTGCTGTATTAGCAAAGTCATCCATTAACATTCTATTTGTTAGTGTGATGTTTACAGTAAACTAATTTAAATCTATTTTATATGATCTTTCATATTCTTCTCTCCCTATCTGTAAATTACACCCATTAATGTCAACGGAAATTACATGCACACAGGGGGAGAAGCATCTAGATCCCATTGTCTGTACTATTATGATCATCTGCGTCAATCAGTTATTCATTCTTTCTACAGAATTGTCACTACTTTGGGGAAATATTAACAAATCTATTTAACACATAACCACAGTAATTTAAGATTACCAGAAGATGTCAGTAACTGCAGTAGAGCCTGCAGACCACACTTTCTATTGCTGTATATTCAAACTTCTAGTATCAGTGCTTCAGAAACCAATCCTGAAATGCAACAGGCTAGCTAAAAGATGCATTGCTGAAGGAAGTTGGGAGTCCAGGAATCAAAACAAAAGTAAAAAAGTGGTGAGCTCAAGTCCACCCATTTCAAACTACATTCATAATACCAAAGTAGCTGAATGATCCTGCTAAAATGATCAGCAGTAAATGGTGAAATGTTAGCATTCAGAGTGTCATCATGTCTTCAGCATGAACTGGTCATTGACATAAATACAGAAGTTCTTGCTTCTTTTAGAACAATCATTTCAGGAAGTCAATCTGTATATGCAGTATGATAACACCATATCGGCTCCACTTTCTGGACAGTTTTCTTTGCTACCACAGGGCTAGAAAATTTGTAATTTTTTAAATGAAAGCTTAAACTCTCTAGAAAATGAAGGGGCCATCAGAGAACTTCTGGTATAGCATATAGTCCTATACTAGCTCAATCTGACCACACTAAGGTCTGGTATACCCGGGGGGGCAGGAAGGGGGAAATTGATCTCTAAGTTACGCAACTTCAGCTACATGAATAACGTAACTGAAGTTGACGTACTTAGATCTACTCACCGCGGTGTCTTCACTGTGGTGAGTCAACTGCTGACACTCCCCCGTCAGCTCCGCCGGCGCCTCTCACTCCAGTGGAGTGCCGGAGTCGACGGGAGAGCGCTTGGCAGTTGATTTATTGCATCTAGACTAAAGTCAAATACTGTGAGTGGATATAATGAAGGTCTAGATGATCACATGCTTCTGAGTGTAAGCAGTTTGTTCCAAAGGTTAAGAAGGAATTTGAATTGCTAATACCATGTAAAACAATAGTAGATTGACTAGATGAATGGTAAGAACGGAGGCTCCTTTCCATTGAAGCTTCTACATACGGCATGAGCAGCAACGTTCAGATGTGGAGCTTGATGAAACTTTCGTCAATTTGGCAGGGTGTATGGATCCAGAATTTTTATTGCATCCATCTCTACAAGCATTATATATATGAACTCCTGAAAGGCAGGATGCTAGAGTTTTTGAACCAATGGTCTTATGTTCCTTGTTTCCTAATAAAAATGTATAATGAAGGAAAGTAAAGACAGCATATCAGAGGAAGACCAACACACAAAAATTGCTGATGATTTGGGTGATGACCAATTACAGTCAAACAACCAAACAAAGGGGCATACACTATCATTTTGCGGTTTGTAAGCTATTGGTAACCAAGAACCTTAAAAAGAACGAGGAGTACTTGTGGCACCTTAGAGACTAACAAATTTATTTGGGCATAAATAAATAAATAACAAATAAATTTGTTAGTCTCTAAGGTGCCACAAGTACTCCTCGTTCTTTTTCCTGATACAGACTAACACGGCTCCCACTATGAAACCAGAAACCTTAAGAATATCATTATAACACTTACATTTAGCACTTGGTTTCCTTTCTCGATCACAAACTCAATATCCTCATTTTTATTTTCTTGCCACAAGCTCATGAAAGTATTAATTTCTTGGGGCACAGTTGGGTCAGGACTCCCATCACATTGCATGTAATGCTCCCACTAAAGAGATTTTTTTAAAAGAAAAAAGAAAAGTAAATCCAAAAGTTTTAGGTACAAACACCTCAAAACTTCATAATTACAATACAAGAGTAAGAGGATTTTGAGAGAGACGTGTGTGGTCTAGTGATAAACACACAACTAAGGAGATGTCTATACTTGTAGCTGAAAGAGGGTTACTTGTGCTCGTTCTCATAGAGCTAGTGCACAAAAGTTGTACCATAGTTGCAGTAGCAGCAGGAGAAGCTAGTCATCCTGAATACAAACCCATTCTGACCACATGGTTACATACTTGGGCAGCTAGCCCAATATTCTGGCCATGATACTGCAGCTACACTACTATTTTCAGCACACTAGCTCAACAGCAGCTAGTGCAAGTATGTCTCCTTGAGCTAGCAATGACATCTCCAATCCCAAGTGTAGATAGAGCCTGAGTCCTAAACCCGGTTTCATCCGTCACTCGTTGTGTGACCTTCAGTCTTGGTTCACTCTGTGACCTCAACATCTCTATCTCAGTTTCCGCATCTGTAAAATAAGGACCATAATAAACCTGTCTCATTATCCAATTAATCATCACAACACACAATATTTGTTAAGTACCTTAAGGACTTAAAATGGAGTTTTTAAAAGCACTAAGCATTGGCACAGCTGTACTCCCACAAAAGTCAATGGTCAAATTCCCGCTGACTTTAGAGGGAACAAATATGAGCCAATCCTGAGCACTTTTGAAAATCCCATCTGTAAATTTAGTAAGTGTTAAATATTAACAACAGCATTGAATCACAAAATAATTCCATTATTTTTAAAATTTTGAATAAATGTGATCGATCATAAAGTATGAGGATTGAGAACACTAAATGGAGCCAGGTATTATAGAGGAGCCAGCTCTGGCTCCGTAGAATGCTTGAGCTAAATTTTGCTCTTAAAGCAGGGATTCAAACTTTTTATTATGTATAACAAAGAGAGCATATCCTCTCCAAAATTAAAACACTTTTTCTTTGAGTATTGAATGAATTTTCTGAAAATTTACAAGTAAATCCATTAATTTGTTTACAAGTTAAAATTAATTAAAAATGGGATCTTTCAGAAATTTAGCATTTAGCATTTGATTTTTCTTTGGTCTGAATATTCTTCATAACAGAATAAAGCAAATTCTTCACACTTCCTATAAAGTTAAAAACTAACTGAAACTGTGGGCATACGTGACATTTGAATGATTTTTTAAAGATTAATGGTCACATTTTATCACCATTTTTCATAACTGAAAGTTACTCCTTCAGCACAGGCTGAAGAATAATCTTAGGAGAATTCCACAAAGAATTGCCCTCCTTCATAATGATTGGTAACATCTATTGTTCTTAGAGGTACTAAAGCAACAGGTTGCCTTCAGTAAAAAAGCCATTTTGTTAAAGAAACAACAACCACCCCAAAGATGGCAAGACCCAAAATTGCACAGTTAGCGCACACAACAACCTTAACTCTATCCTATAGTTCCGGCAGAAAGGGATGGGAAGGGGAAGGAAAAAATCTAATGCATCTTTAAAATTCAGTTTAACCTAATCTGGAAACATAAATATGCAAACAACGTGACAATAATCATCTGGGCATTGCATGATGTCCTATAGGATGGAACTGTTTGGATTCTTTAACTTTGTATTTCCACCCCTTAACACATTAGACTTAAACTGAAACATTAACTCTGAATTTCCAGGTTATAGAATGCTTATCTGAGGGATATTTGTAACATCTTTGTAATGTAATTTACCCTAAATTACTGATATATACTCTCAGCCTAAACTGCATTTTAATGTAGTTTTTATCTGGCAGTAGTACATAACTCAGGTGTTATGCTGTTTCCTGCCTATAATTATGCCAATATACCTCAAAATCCTGACTTCCGTCATCCCTGTCTCACCTGAGCAGATATTACCCACTGTCCAAACTCCTTAGAAGTTTTTTGATTAATGTAGTGTTTTTCATTTAAAACTAGAATGAACAAAGCACTAGAAAATACAGGAATGATCTTGTAATAGAAGAGAGAAGCACAAGATTATTTAAAAGTCTCTTCTTTGTCAAACCTCTAGAATACTATGTGGATATTTTGGAAAGCAAGTTTACCTTAGCATGTGCTCTATAATCTGCTTTCCATTGCCTTGCACTTAAAAAGTTCTCTTCTAATGAATGGAGTTCTGCAAGTTCAGTCCCTCTCCGCTCTTGATCCTGTTAGTATATGATCAGGTACATGAATTTACTATTCAGTTTAATTTTAGTTTTTATAAATTATTTTATAGTAAAGAAAACTCAATTTTATTTAGGTATTTTGATGGACAGAGTATTAATATTAAAAATAATCCAAATATTGATAATATCTTGAATTTTTATGGCACATTACATCCAGGAGATTGCAGTTAATTAGCAATGTTTTATCATAGAGAATCTCTGTGTGCTGGTGATGTGATAAATTGCTGAGCCACATAATAAATGACTCCAGTCCTTGAGCACCGCCCCGTCTGCTTTCCCTGCACAGGCTCTGTCTGTCGGCACAGGCTCTGCTGAAGGGGCTCTGTCTGGCAAGGGGTCCGTACTCCTGGGGTGTAGCCTCCCCACTCACAGAGTCTCTGCCAACATTCCCAGTTGCAAGAAATACCCCTGGTGAATGTAGGTGAGTACTGATTATTATTATTAATAATAATATCAGGAGGAAGGGTGGAGCGGGGTGCTAAGAAAACAGACCCTTATTTTTTAAATACAATGTTGGCAACCCTAGTAGAAGAGTGTGTGGCGCATCCAACAGCTTTAAAGAGATCTGTGATTATCACTGGATCCAAGAGCACCCCTCCACTCCTGCTTTCCAATGGAACACACTTCAGTTGCCTTTGGTAGGTTCCAAGATATCAAACCTTAAAACTGTGACATTTTAGTGTATGGAAATCTGTTGGGGGCAATTTTTAGAAGTTTTTAAAATGTATTGGTTCATGGCTTTTTTTTTCCTCAGAGCTCTAGCTAACTGGGTTCACAACAATGAAGGCAATCCAGCTTTACAGATGATGGGGTATGAAAAAAAAAGACCAATTAAAAAATGTTAAACTTGCTAAAACATTTCTAAAAAAAATTCTGATAAATGTGCTATACACAGAATACATAGTAGTGTGTTTTTATTGGCACCAGTTTGGGTTGGCTTACATAATTCACCTACAGTTTCACAATTCAGAGCAAGTCATCCCAAATTCCTGCCAGTAAAACTTTACACTACAATATCACATACATGCATATATATCAATACAACAATTTTACACCTGCACTAAAATGCAGCCATTTCTAGAATGAAATACCACAATTCGTAACAGCCCAAAACAATACTACATACAGTTTAGGAGCGAAAATGAATATGTCTAGTAGAATACACATGTGGAATTGTAGAAAAACAAGAACTGTTTACTCAGATTGGAATTTGGACAGGAGCAGAGGTTACATCTCTACTCATGCAAAGAGTACCATGAGGATTTTAATTATCAGAAGTAAGCAAGACCAAGCTTTTACATCTTCTTTTACCACATAAGCACTTCTTTGTACCACACTGTGTGACTACTAGCTTAGAGGACACTGTGGCACATACCAAGTCTTTAGCATCGTTTTCTTAAGCACCTTTGGCTTTCCTTGGAAGTCACTCATTTAGCTACTGATCCAGTTCATTGCCCTACTGTACTAAACTTGTGGCTCTTACATTTTGCAGTGGTATGGCTAGAGTTTTCATTATTAGTTTTGATCCAAGAATACTGGAAGGCCCCCCCTACTCCCTCCTCTACTCTGAGGAAATGGAGAGAAATTCCCACATTTTCATAACAAATCAACAATGTTTTAGCATAAAGTTTAGAAACTGACTATTGCAGTTTGCTACAGCTGTTTATTATGATGGCTGCGAACTAACTTTTGCTTCAAGCCTTTCCCTCTCCTCTTGCACAATTCTCTCCTTTTCGAGTCTTTCTGCTTCTTCTTGTTCAGCTCGTAAACGGGCTTCCTCTGAAGAATGAGAAATCTATTATCAGCAATACAAATACATCCTGATTAATAAAAACAGATACATTATTTTAAAAACTAGCTAGCAGATCAAAATTTTTATTTCAAAATAACTATAATAACTTGTGATAGTAAGAGTTCAATCTACATTGTCCATTATGGGTTCGATCCATAACATTTGGAAGTAGTGCCAGATAAACTAAATCCACAGCCCTACGCACACAGATCTCCCCATGGTCTTACCCACCCTTGGAGTTGTGGGGGCAGATGTGCCACTCCTACAATTCCAGAGAAGCAGAGACAGAGTCCTTTTCCCCCTCAGGAACAGCAGAGGAAGTAGCAGGAGTCCTCCCTTTCCCCACCTACACATTAAGAGGCAGAGGTGGCAGCCAGAGGCCCCCCAATACTCATTACAGTAGCTATAATATATCTGATTTGGTGGTCTGGTCCTGCTTTGCTCATCTCCTCTTGCCATATACATCATTCTCTGCTAAGGCAATGTTGACAGATTCCCCAAGCTCTTGGAGTTAGTAACCCAATGAAATGCATGGGATACTTCGCATGCCTCAAAGTTATTGTATCAAGGGCTCTGTAGGTTCAGACAGGTGTCATTACATAAGCTAAACTAGAATCACATTTCAATATTTTCTTCTCAGCCATAAGGGCAAAAAATAGTTTTTTTTAATGATAGCTGAGATTCTGATTACATGACTACAGGAGATGCAGCCCTAGGCACAGGCCTATACCGCCTATGCTTTAATTCATCCCTCTTTGAAAGACTGTCCTAACATTAATATGGAGTGTCTGTTGCTGTCCAAATGCACTGATCAGTACTCTGTTAAGCTCAAAGTCAGCGTACTCTATTGATCTACTTTGAGCAAAGTTTTAGTCATTGAACTTCTCATTCCTTCTGATTACTAAATGTGGAGAAGAGGAAATATCTGTTCCCATACCTCTCTACCCACTTGTTCTTGATTTGGCTGGGAGTACCAGAAGGGGAGATAAAGAAAAATTGTAATTCTCTCCCCCACCCTCATACACTTTCCAAACATTTGTGGGGGACCAGGGAGAGGAATAACTAGTGGAAAGAGTATGTAGAAAAGGAGGTTGAACATTGTGAGGGGGATATGTGGGGTCTCAAAAAATATCCTTGTTTATGGCCTTCCAAAACATCAAAGCCAGCCTTAAGACCAGAGAAATACAAGTAAATCATCCTACTGAGATTAAACAGAATTTAGATAACATTAATGATTATAATTTGCACTCTGCCTATTTAATTAGTGATTTGGTGTAATCACATTTCCTATAAGTGAAATGCACTGTACCTTCCTCTATTAATCTTCTATCTTCTTCTTCTTTCTGTAATCTCAGTCGTTCAGCTTTGCTAAGTTTCTTTTGACCTCCACTTCCACCAGACTTAACATGGGCAATAAATTAAAGGAGACTAAATGTCAACATTTATTTTACACATTTTATTTCTCTAATGTAGCATTTCAAAGTATATTGTCAGTCTTTTACGTAGCAACATCTGTGTTCAAAAGATAACAAAAGAACAGGATATTATGTCAGTAAAGGAAACAAATTTTTCTTGTAACCCACAAAAATAGCTGAATGTTTAAACCAGCCCTATCCTCAGGGCAATGTGGTTAGCAAGACTAATGAAGTGAGTGCATTTAAAAGTTGGATTTTTGTTTTAAACTAAAATATCACTCATATGACAGAACAAAAGATTTTTTCACTTTTGAAAGCAAGCAGAAAGAATGTTGATTTAAAGAATACACAGACAAGACAAAGTCACAGGAACAGCCCTTTAACATAACAGCACTATTTAGAGATGATTAAAGCAGGGAATTTATATATTTGTTAAAAGAACAAGGGGTTAGCCCATGAAAGCTTATGACCAAATACATTTGTTAGTCTCTAAGGTGCCACAAGTACTCCTGGGTTTTTTTTGCTGATACAGACTAACATGGCTACTACTTTGAAACCTATATATTTGTTGTAACTTTCACCAGTTTCCCCACTGACATAAGAATATTCATATAAGTAAGAAAAGTAAAGCTACACATATTGGGCCAAATTCTCCTTAATCAACTTGAACCAACATAACATGGGAAAATTTGACCCATTATATACACTATATTAGAAAAAAAATCTATGTATCATAATAATTAATTGGGAAGTTAACTACATATTAAGGACCAGCTGCTACTGGTGACTCAACTTATAAGATCTCTGCAACATATATTTGTGTTAAGAGCTTGAGAGCAGCCTGAAGACTTAATTGAGAATCCACTGGTATTCTCCTGCCCTCCAAAAAATAGGTTCCCCAGAGCCCTGTTTTCCTTTTTTTTTTTTTCTGCCAGAGTCCACAAAGGGGATCATTTAACCCATACTGTGAGGAATAAGCAAAAATCACCACACAATACCATCTCAAATAAATAGATTTAAAAGGAAAAATATTAAAACTATTAATGTATTAACTAAAATAGCCTGTGCTCTTGATCCTCCTCATATGTATAGTTACTAGATCAAATTCTATCCTTTAGAGTAGAATATGTAGAATAGAATTCTAGATAGCATTTGATCTAGTAACTATACATATGAGGAGGATCAAGAGCACAGGCTATTTTGGTTAATCCATTAGTTAATGTATTAGTTAATTAAATAATAAATAAATGAGTCAATACATTAGTTAATGTATTAGTTAATTAATAATTTAGTTAATACATCAGTTTTTACTCAATGTTTATTCAGACAAGGTTCTCATTGACTGCAATCATATGACAGCCCTATGCACAACTTGGTTCTGTATAAATTTTTCATACATGTATCCAAAAATGTTTTACAGAATCCAAATAATAATTAGAAAGTTAACAGATAAATAATAGTAGAGGAGGGAGAGATTACAAGGGAGAAGAGAGATGTTCATAAAAGATTATAATTTATTATTTATATTGTATAAACAAGCTACAAACAGAGTCCTCACTCAGGATCAAGGCCATGCTGTGCTAGGTGCTGAACACACATACATGAAGATGTGTGATATATGAACGTAGATAGAGCTGATGAGTTAGCAGTATAAAGGGAGGCTGATTTAGATGGCAAAAGTTGAAAAGAAGAAGGTGGTTCTTGATGTAGTAATGGCCAGAACATGATAGAATAGAGAGGGCTAGTATTAGACCAAGAGGGGAGATGAAGAGAATGAGAATGAGCCATGAGATAAAAAAAATATCCAAGGATGATAATATTGTACTGAATTGCACAATCAGCACAGAGCCAGCAGAGTTGTTTGTTGTGACATGTACATTCTTCTTTGTGTGTGTTAGAAGATAAGCAGTGGTATTCCACAAATGCTGTAATCAGCAGTACTGGGACTTGGAGAAACCAAAGAGAAGAGAGTTACAGTAGTCAAAGAAAAAGATGATATTATTATGGACAAGGATTTTAGCAGAGGTAGAATAAGGCAGTATTGTGCCGACAGTGATGGATTTGCAGATGCAGAAGATATGGGAGAAGAGTTCAGAATTAAGCTTGAATCCAAAGTTACGGACAACAGACAAAAAGAAACATCCAAGTCAAGGAAGGTGTCTGAGCTGCATTTGAAGATGTACTTCCTGATTGACCAAAAGATGCATCTTTGTCTTTGAGACACTTAGCTAAAGCCAGATGAGATGAAACCATATGTTCATTTGTTTGAAACAGAGGAGACATGTTGACATGCAGAGTTGAATATCACCACCATAAAAGTGAGAGCTAGGATGTAAAGGCAGAGACAGAGAACCTGTTCTCCACTATCTTGCCACTTGCACCTATACAGACTGAGTGGGAAGTGCATGTAACATCAGTCCAGAACACTATCAGTCCAGAACAGTCAAATTTTAAAGCTATTTTGAAAGATGTAAATGACTCCACGAAATGCAAGGCAATAAAGAATCAGGTGCACGAGAACCAAAAGGAAGGTGGGGAGAGAGAAGCAGAAGGCCAAACTCTTGTAAATAAATAGTGTGATATAATGCAAGGCTTCTCATTACATACTTTTGTCCCATTTTGGTAGTAGTGATATTTCTGGTAAATATTATCTTAGACAAACCATTTTTATGAAGAGTTTCCAGATTATCCAGGCGGACCCTTTTCATTCAATAGTAAAAGATGTGTTTTGAATTGTGTTATTTCCAAGGTAATTAGTGTATTGTCAGCTAACAGAAATATCAGGGAAGCTATTCTGTTCTGTATTGCCAGCCAAAATGACAAAATGTTTTGAACCTTGTATGGCAAAAAAACAAATGAAAACTTAAATCAAATGTATAAACTGAAACTTAGTTACAAGACTTGTTATGAAACTTGAACAAAACATTAGGCCAAATTTACTGCTGCAAAAAGAGACAGTAACTCTACTGATAACAATGTAGTTATGACTAGGGCTCCATGTCTGCCACGGAGGTTGCGGAAGTCATGGATTCCGTGACTTTCCGCAACCTCTGTGACTTCTGCAGCAGCCAGTGTGGCTGACCCCAGGACTGCCCAAGCAGCTGGCTTCAGAGCCAGGGCTCCAGTTACCCGGGGAACAGCCACACCAGCCACTGCTGGAGCGGCCCCGGGGACAGCCACACCAGCTGCTGCTCTGGCGGCCCCCAGTAGCAGTCCCTGGGCGGCCAGCTGGAGCATCCTCGGTCTGTGGCCCCCCGGCAGCATTAACCAGCCGGCCGGAGCAGCCGTAGTCTGCGGCCCTCTGGGCAGTGGTGCCGCTGGCCCTGAGCGCACCCACCCCAGCAGTGGGCCCCCACAGATGTCCCCTTCCCAGCAGTGTGCCCCCCAACACGCCACAGCCCTCCCCCCAAGATTTAATCACAGGTATTTTTAGTATAAGTCATGGACAGGTCACAGGCTGTGCATTTTTGTTTATTGCCCGTGACCTGTCCATGACTTTTACCAAAAATACCCATGACTAAACTGTAGCCTTAGTTACGACCTACTAAGGCAAGAGTGCATCCCATCAGGTGTTACTCAAGCATTCATCTGCAAAGTTCTGCCACAATGAGATCTTTAGATACAGATATGAAAGGTATGCTCATGAGTTTGACTGCAGGATGAGGGCCTTAGGATATTAAAGCTGAAATAATTTTATATATCTAACTTACTTTTTACCGTATGTCATTTGTTGACTTTTCTCTCTATCTCTCAGCATGGAAGATGAAAACAGACTAGTCAGTTTCACTTGTTTACAATCATATTCTAATCAATTTTCTTTTCAGATTCTCATGCTTTAGTCCAGTGTTGCAATGTGTGACCTACCAAATGCTACAGGAGAACATGTTTGTATTTTGTAAATTTTAAAAAATATACAGGAATTTTTAAAAATGGAAATTTTTGTCTCAGGTTTTGTAAAGGCTTGTTTTTACAAAATCTAACTTTTGCACCAAATTTGACCAGACAGTATGTTTTAACCTCCTCCTCCCTCCACCCACTCGCCCCCGCCCCCCGCCAAAACCTGCAAAACCATTATACTATTTTGCAGACTAACTCCAGAAGGGACTGTGAGTCATCTAGTCTGACCTTCTGCATAGGAGCCCAGTACTGGGTCTGGTACTAGACAATATTTTCATTAATGATTTGGATAATGGAGTGGAGAGAGTATGCATATGAAATCTGCAGATGACACCAAGTTTGGAGTCATTGCAAGCACTTCAGAAGACAGGATTAGAAAACAAAAATGACCTTGATAAAATTAGAGATTAAAAGCGACAAGGTGAAATTCAATAAAGACAAGTGCAAAGTCCTTCTTTGAGGAAGGAAAAATCAAATGCATAACTACAAAAGAGAGTTGTTGGCTAGTACTGCTGAAAAGGATCTGGGGGTTATAGAGGATCACAAACTGAATATGAGTCAACAATGTGGTGCAGGTGCAAAAAAAAAAAATGCTAATATTTTGGGGTGTATTAACAGAAGTGTTGTTATATGTCAGACAAGGGAGGTAACTGTTCCTCTCTACTCAGCTCTGGTGAGACCTTAGCTGGAGTACTGTGTCCAGTTTTGGGCACTACACTGTAAGAAAGATGAGAAAAACTGGAGAGAGTCCAGAGGAGAGCTACAAAAATGATAAAAGGTTTAAAAATCCTGACTTCAAAGGAAAGGTTAAAAAACCTGTGCATATTTAGTCTTGAGAAAAGAAAGACGGGGCGGGGGGGGACGACGACGACGACGACTGATAACAGTCTTCAAACATGCTGTGGGGTGATAAAGAGGATGGTGCTCAATTGTTCTCCATGTCCAATGTACGTAGGACAAGTAGTAATGGCCTTAAACTGCAGTGAAGGAGATTTAAGTTAGATATTAGGAAAAACTTTTTAATTATAAGGGTAGTTAAGCTCTCAAATAGGCTTCTCAGGGAGGCTCTGGAATCCCCAGCACTGGAGGTTAAGAACAAGTTGGAGAAACACTTGTTTAGATTTAACTGGTCTTGCCTCAGTGCAGGGGCCTAGACTTGATGGCCTCTCAAGATCTACATTTCTATGATTCTATAACACAAGCCATAGAATTTCACCCTGTAATTTCCTAAGTGAGGAGAATGTTATTTCCAGCTATGTAAATGAACACCACTGAGTACAACCAACTGTGTCTGAGCTAGATTGTATCTTTGCTGTTATATCTACATCTATCTGATATATCTATAAATCTACCTACCTACCTTTGTTTTCTTTTTTGGACCCTAAAAGTTCAGAGAAAAAGAAGAGAGAAAGAGTCAGAGATTACAGTACCTAAACAAACTATAAGGAATAATTAATTTACTTAGTAGTTGCACTTCTTAAAATCAGATAGGTAAGTATATTTCATTTCAAAGTTTAGCCATTGATAACAGATAATATGAACAAACTGTAATATGGGGGGAGGGGAATAACCAATGAGCTTTAATAACGGGGAAAGGGAGAACCACCAGTATTACACAATTTCATTGTTTTTAGTGGTATTAACAGACCATCGCCACATTTCATAGCAATATCCCACAGTTAAGGTTGTGGCAGCACATCCATTCTAATTTCTCCATTAAAAGTCAATGCATGTCAGAGACTTGTATGTTTTAGATAAAAATGTCTGAACTCCTTGCTTCCTGGTTTCGCTGGTTTGTAGTACATATAATCTTACAATTATTATCAATTACTATACAGAAGTGGGTATCATTGATCCTTTTTTATACATGGAGAAACTGAAGTATAAAAAGAACAGAAGTACTTGTGGCAACTTAGAGACTAACAAATTTATTTGAGCATAAGCTTTCGTGAGCTATAGCCCACTTCATTAGATACATAGAATGGAACATATAGTAAGTAAGAAGATATATATACATACAGAGAACATGAAAAGGTGGAAGTTGCCATACCAACTCTAAGAGGCTAATTAATTAAGATGAGCTATTATCAGCAGGAGAAAAAAAAAACTTTTGTAGTGATAATCAAGATGGCCCATTTCAGACAGTTGACAAGAAGGTGTGAGGATACTGAACATGGGGAAATAGATTCAATTTGTGTAATGACCCAGCCACTCCCAGTCTCTATTCAAGCTCAAGTTAATGGTATCTAGTTTGCAATTAATTCTAGTTCAGCAGTTTCTTGTTGGAGTCTGTTCTTGAAGCTTTTCTGTTGCAAAATTGCCACCTTTAAGTCTGTTACTGAGTGACCAGAGAGGTTGAAGCGTTCTCCTACTGGTTTTTGAATGTTATGATGCCTGATGTCAGATTTGTGTCGATTTATTCTTTTGCGTAGAGACTGTCCGGTTTGGCCAATGTACATGGCAGAGGGGCATTGCTGGCACATGATGGCATATATCACATTGGTAGATGTGCAGGTGAATGAGCCCCTGATGGCGTGGCTGATGTGATTAGGTCTATGATGGTGTCACTTGGATAGATATGTGGACAGAGTTGGCATTGGGCTTTGTTGCAAGGATAGGTTCCTGGGTTAGTGTTTTTGTTGTGTGGTGTGTGGTTGCTGGTGAGTATTTGCTTCAGGTTGGGGGGCTGTCTGTAAGCGAGGACTGGCCTGTCTCCCAAGATCTGTGAGAGTGATGGGTCATCCTTCAGGATAGGTTGTAGATCCTTGATGATGCTTTGGAGAGGTTTTAGTTGGGGGCTGAAGGTGACAGCTAGTGGAGTTCTGTTATTTTCTTTGTTGGGCCTGTCCTGTAGTTAAAAACAAATTGACAGAGCCAGAAGAGTACCCAGAAGTCACCTACTACAGGACAGGCCCAACAAAGAAAATAACGGAACGCCACTAGCCATCACCTTCAGCCCCCAACTAAAACCTCTCCAAAACATCATCAAAGATCTACAAGCTATCCTGAAAGACGATCCCTCACTCTCACGGATCTTGGGAGACAGGCCAGTCCTCACTTACAGACAGCCCCCCAACCTGAAGCAAATACTCACCAGCAACCACACACCACACAACAAAAACACTAACCCAGGAACCTATCCTTGCAACAAAGCCCAATGCCAACTCTGTCCACATATCTATCCAAGTGACACCATCATAGACCTAATCACATCAGCCACGCCATCAGGGGCTCGTTCACCTGCACATCTACCAATGTGATATATGCCATCATGTGCCAGCAATGCCCCTCTGCCATGTACATTGGCCAAACCGGACAGTCTCTACGCAAAAGAATAAATCGACACAAATCTGACATCAGGCATCATAACATTCAAAAACCAGCAGGAGAACGCTTCAACCTCTCTGGTCACTCAGTAACAGACTTAAAGGTGGCAATTTTGCAACAGAAAAGCTTCAAAAACAGACTCCAACAAGAAACTGCTGAACTAGAATTAATTGCAAACTAGATACCATTAACTTGAGCTTGAATAGAGACTGGGAGTGGCTGGGTCATTACACAAATTGAATCTATTTCCCCACGTTCAGTATCCTCACACCTTCTTGTCAACTGTCTGAAATGGGCCATCTTGATTATCACTACAAAAGTTTTTTTTATTTCTCCTGCTGATAATAGCTCATCTTAATTAATTAGCCTCTTAGAGTTGGTATGGCAATTTCCACCTTTTCATGTTCTCTGTATGTATATATATCTTCTTACTTTATGTTCCATTCTGTGCATCTGATGAAGTGGGCTGTAGCCCATGAAAGCTTATGCTCAAATAAATTTGTTAGTCTCTAAGGTGCCACAAGTATTCACGACCTTTTTGAGGATACAGGCTAACATGGCTGCTACTCTGAAACCTGAAGTATAAAGACACTTAGGGACTTTTCCAAAAGTAACACAAGGAGTTACATGGATCAGCGTTCACGTTGCACTCCCCATCAGTACTCAGCCCAGCCCTGGAAAACTAATGATCCAACCAGATCAAATTTGGTGATGAATCCTGGTCACATGCCACCTGAAACACATTGCACATATGCTAAGAAGAAGTCAGAGCAAAGAATAGAAACTAAAGTATCTCAGCACTCAATCCCTACATGACACTGCATCATGTATCAAATGGTTACATTTTCAGTGCAATGTGTAGGACATAGCTAGTTAATATTAACGTGTATGGACATTGATTGGCTAAATTTTTAATGCATTATTTTGAAAATTTACACAGGAAATAGAGGTGGAATGTAGAAGCGGCCAGTTGAGTGGAAAAGCCAGAGAACAAGGCAGTAAACATGGTCAGAAATGGATACCTAGGGAAGGAATAAAGGGCTCCTCTAGGGGAGTAGAAGAAACTGTCTATTGTGGTGGAACGGTTTTGGTAAGGTGTGAAGGTGAAGTTTACAGGAATGCAAACTGAGTTTCATGCTAAAATATCCCAGGGATTTCCTACAACATAAAAAACTGGATTAATCAGGGTGGAATAAAGGCTCAGATCCTCAATGATAAATAAGCTCCTAACTTCTATTGATTTGGGGAGCCTCAATACTTTTGAGGATCTGGCTCAAAGTGCCTGTCTCCTCCAGATTACCTTTTGAAGTCAAGCCCAGATTGGCAGTGACTGAATAGGATTTCCAGTTTACTGGCCTGCGTGAAATGCTTTGATGGTCTCAGACCAGTTCCTAGACTCAGAGGATAAAGGTCCACATTGCAAAAAACCACCACCATGATCAGTACTTGATGGGCACTTTTGCTGGTAGTCCCAGCAGAACTGATGGGGCTGCAGAAGGCTGAAATCTCCTCTTGTGGGAGACATTTGAATGCCCTCTCTGCCTAGTGCCTTCTACCTGTTCCGTGATTAGGGGCACTCACCTCCCTCCTGTTTACCAGATTGATTCTGTTTAACCCTACGACTGGCCCAGTAACCCTTACCCTCAACGTAAAGGAAAGGGATAGTAGGTGCTGGAGCTAGGGGTGCTTTGGGTGGCTTGAAGCGGCTTCCCTTGCATACAGGGGTTACAGCTTGGTTCAATGACTCTCAGCATCCCCACTCTGCAAATTGTCCCAGCGCCCCTGCAAGAGACGAAAGCAACCAGCTCGCCTCCCCTGTCCCGTTCATCTCCGGTGTGCTAGGGGCAGGCGCCGGGGTCCCCGCCAGGCTGGGTGAGAGGCGGAAGCCGCGATGCTAAAGGCTCAGAGGCTGGCGTGGGGGGAGGGGGGCTGAACCCCGTCCGCCCAGGGACCCTACGGCGGCGCCAGGCCGCTCAGCAGCGCTTGAGGGGACAGGCCGAGCCCCAGCCCCCCGCGCACCCCGGGGCTCGGAGCGGACGGGAACTTGGAGCCGGGGGGGGGGGGCTGCCTACCCGGGCTGGGGGAGGGGAGCGACTTACCCCCCACCCCCAACAACCCCATGGCCGGGCCCTTCCTGGGGCGGCCCTTCCCCCCGCCCCGCTCTCACCATCTCGACGCGTCCCCCAGCCCGGCGTGAGACACTGTTTACCCTCCCGCCCCTTCGTTACCTAGACGACTAGTCCCGCCCACGCGGAGCTCTCGCGCAGCCGCTCCCGACTCCCTGACAACCCCCCACCCCACCCCACCCCCCCCTACATCCTCGCGCAGCCGCAGTAGACGTCCACACGCTTAACTCACGCGGCCACCCCGGGGGAGGGGACTCGCTCGTGACTTTCTCACTCTGCCGGGGCGGGGGTCGGTGCCGCTTTACGGCCGGCAGGAGGTGCCGTAAAGCGTGCGCAGCTGGCTTTGCGTCAGGGCCGGTGGAGAGGTACAGATCCCCCCCTTTCCGCCCCATACCCCGCCCCCCCGCTCTCTGAGACCCGGGTGGAGCCCGTGCGGCGGGGCGCTCCCCTGACGTCATGGCTGTGTCCCGGCGCCCAGGTGCCTTAACCCCGGGGAGGGCGGCCAGGGGAGCAGCGGCTTGCCCCACGCTTGGGAGGGGGCATGTGGGTGCTGCACTGAGAGCAACTCCCCCACCATCATCGCCAGGGGCCCCCTAGGCCAGGCAAGGGAGTGGGTGGGGCTGGTGAGCCCGCGGGGCAGGTCTGGGCTGCAGTGAAAACCTGGCTCTTTCTGTGGGGTCTGGGCTGTTCCCGAGCCCGCGCTGGGGCGGGACCTGGCTTTTCAGTTGCTCAGCCTGGGTCCCTCCACCCCAGCTAACCCGTCCATACTGCCCTGCACAGACCTTCCCACTTGGATCTGCAGCTTGACCTGCGTCCACACTGCAAACTTACAGGGCTTGGACTGGAGGCTTAGTAGGACTTCGGCTTTGAGTCCACCCCCCTGTGAATAGGTTTCAGAGTAGCAGCCGTGTTAGTCTGTATCCGCAAAAAGAAAAGGAGGACTTGTGGCACCTTAGAGACTAACAAATTTGTTTGAACTGTAGCTCACGAAAGCTTATGCTCAAATACATTTGTTAGTCTCTAAGGTGCCACAAGTCCTCCTTTTCTTTTTCCCCCGTGAATAGGATCTTAGGTTTGGGTCCTGAGTATTTGCTGACCCAAATCAGACTGATGTGTGCATTGAAAGAAGTGGGGTGTGGGCTCAAACTTGAGTGAGATCCTGGGCTTAATGTGCAGTGTAGACATACCTTTAAATGACTGTATTGCTGCTGATAATGGGGATATCCAACACCATTGTGCTGGGTTCTGTGCAAACCCACATGCAGCCCTGTGCTGCTCCCACCACCAGGCTGATAATCCAAGTCAAGAGTTTATAGCCAACCCTAAGGTTCTCATGACAGATATGCATGGTGTTGCCAACTCCTGCGATTTTTATCTTCGGTCTCAGACACTTTTAGGTTTCAGAGTAACAGCCGTGTTAGTCTGTATTCGCAAAAAGAAAAGGAGTACTTGTGGCACCTTAGAGACTAACCAATTTATCTGAGCATGAGCTTTTGTGAGCTACAGCTCACTTCATCGGATGCATACCGTGGAAACTGCAGCAGACTTTATATACACACAGAGATCGTGAAACGGGTGGGAGGAGGTATTGTTTCATGATCTCTGTGTGTATATAAAGTCTGCTGCAGTTTCCGCGGTATGCATCCGATGAAGTGAGCTGTAGCTCACAAAAGCTCATGCTCAGATAAATTGGTTAGTCTCTAAGGTGCCACAAGTACTCCTTTTTTTTTTTTGCAGACACTTTTAGGTATTTCTTAAAGCTCCAGCTCCTGAAAGCATGTGTTTATGTAAGAATCTCAGCTTTGTTTGGGGGGAAGGGAGTTTCTAGCCCTTGTCTGTGAAGAAAAGCTGGAAAATGTGATCTGCTAGAGGCTCAAATTTTTTTTTTTTACTATGTGTGTTTATCAGTTCTACCTAGCCATGCTTTTCTTATGAGCCAGCAGGGCAATGGACTAGACAGAGACTCCCTTTTCATACAAAAGTGGCCTTCAGAGTAAGTCACATAAACTCCGCTTATCTACCTCCTCAGTAAAAACAAAGGGTAGAGCTGAGACTCTCAGAATGGGCTCACTGGGGTATTGTCATCCCTTGTATTGGTGGAACTGCTTCCTTGAAGTATGTGGGTTTATACATGCCCCACTTGTTATATCATAATTTAATTATAAAAATTGTCAACATATTATCCCCTCCCCACTCTCCAGTGTTAATATTTGGGGTTTTTTTATGGTGTTTAGATTGCTTTTGAAAGGTGTCTGACAGCTGAGGAGACTGAAGTCCTCTCTCCACAGAAAAGGTAGAGGCAGCAGCAGTGCAAACACCCCACCAATGGGCTTCAACTTCATCATGGAGGCACTAGCTCAGTTGAGAAAAGGGTAATTCATTTTCCCTGTCAGTTAGCCCCCCTGCAGAGACTGCCATCACAGAGACCAAATTGTGCTAGTTAAGATTTTTTTCTATGTCTTGTGAAATAGTTTATCTAGGGCAGTGGTTCTCAAACTTTTGTACCGGTGACCCCTTCCACATAGCAAGCCTCTGAGTGGGACCCCGATCTTATAAATTTTATAAGGCAAAGCAGGGTTTAGGGTGGAGATTGACAGCTCATGACCCCGCATGTAATAACCTTGCAACCCCCAGTTTGAGAACCCCTGATCTAGGGGAAGGCCTCCCACCTTGACTTTCCACACTAAAGCAGTGATGCTATTAAAACAGTACCTCCTCCTACTCATTCCCTTTTTAAAGAAGTTCAGGAGTTCAAGGAAGACCTACTATATTAATTGCCCCATCTAATCAGTTCAGTCCTTCACATCAGTGAGGCCTACTCATGGTCACAACACTGTCTACATTCACATAGTGCCAAGTTACTAAAGGTACAGTAGAACCTCAGGGTTATGAGCACCTTGGGAGTGGAGGTTGTTTGTAACTCTGAAATGTTCATAATTTCTGAACAATACTTCATAGTTCTTTCAAAAGTTTACAATGGAACATTGAGTTAATAGAACTTTGAAACATTACTATGCAGAAGAAATATGCTGTTTTCCCTTTATTTTTTTTAGTAGTTTGCATTTATCACAGTACTCTACTGTTTGCTTTTTTGTTCTTTGGTCTCCGCTGCTGCCTTATTGTGTACTTCCAGTTCCAAATGAGGTGTGTGGTTAACTGGTCAGTTTGTAACTCTGAGGTTCTACTCTACTAAAGGCACTTCACCTGCTAACTGAGTGCTATGCTAATGGCACAGATACCCAGCACTTGTATGGATAGCATGTGCTTAATAAAGCCTAGATGTCTCGTGCTAAGTCAGGGGAGGGCAAACTACAGGCCACTGGCCAGATCCAGCCCATCAAGGCTTTCAATCCAATCCACGGGATTGCCAGCCCCATGGCGCAGCAGGGCTAAGGCAGGCTCCGTGCCTGCCCTGTCCGTGCGCCGCTTCTGGAAGTGGCCGGCACCACATCCCTGCAGCCCCGGGGAGGGGGAGGGGGCACAGAGGGCTCTGTGTGCTGCCATCAGCTGCAGGCACCGCCCCCCTCCCCTCACAGCTCCCATTGGCCGGAACCTCGGCCAATGAGAGCTTCGGGGGTGGTACCCGCAGGTGATAGCAGCGCATGGTGGAGCTGCCTGCTCCATCCCATCCCCAGGAGCCACTGCCAGACATACTGGCCACTTCCAGGAGCAGCACAGGGCCAGGGCAGGCAGAGGGCCTGCCTTAGCACTGCTGTGTGCTGCTGCCGCTTTAGAGCCGCTCAAGGGAAATGGCGCCAGGCCAGAGCCTGCACCCTGAACCCCTCCTCCCTGCCCTGAGCCCCCTAGCCCCCTGTGTTGAGCCCCCTGCCACACCCCAACCCCCTGCCGCACCCCTCCTGAGCCCCTTCCTGCACAAGCCGCACCTCAACCCCCTCCCGCACCTCAACCCCCAGCCCTACATTCATGGCCCTGCATACAATTTCCCCACCTAGATGTGGCCCTGGGGCCAAAAAGCTTGTCCACCCCTGTGCTAAGGAGTGAAAACACTTCCTTTATAGCAATGTCATTCTGCTGTCACATGTTTTAACACTGATAACACCTGAGTGAGTCAACACTGATGCTTCTCTTTAGTTGAGATGGCCTTGTAAGTCAGGTTACAGCCAGAGGTTTAGAAGCAAGATTTAATAAATAACTTTATAGTGCTAGGATTTGGAATTTAAAGATTATATAAAAAAGTAGTTTAGGCAACTTAGTGCTTTTAGGATGTACACTGATTCAATTCTCATATTTTTTTTTTCCTGTTTATTACATTAGCAATATTCTGACTTTTTTTTTAAATGCTTTAGCAATATTGTTACGGGATCTGAATTAAGTCTGAACCACGCACTACAGTTCTCTCAAGCCCTGCTTGGTGGGAAGGGATGCTGAGTCTGAACATTCTTTCAAGCCAAATGTGGGGCTTGGGCTTCAGCATGTAACTCAACATCCACAGCTCAGAGCATAGTGCAAAAAACAGAATGAGAAAATGTACTGTACGCAGTATGATATTTTTGAAATATTTTTTATTCTTAAACATGTGAAAGGCACTTATGCTCAGAGGACTAACTTTTTAAAAGAAGCATTACTTGAAACTTCTGAAATTTATCTGTGAAAATCACTCTCTTCATTAGTAGTAGTAGTAGTAGTAGTGTGACACCTAGGAGCCCCAGGCATTTTACTGAACTTTCCAAAATCTTTGGGTTGAAAGTAATTGTACAGACTTTGAGCCTGACAAGGTAAATTCTCCAGCCTCTACTTAATAATAAAATATTATAACTAATACATGGAGTCTGTGTGTGAGGATAAAGTCAAGCATAGGAAAATGAATCCTGCAATCATTTATTTCTTGAATACACATAAGGTGGCTGTGTTGGCTCTGCCCCCATACAGCTCACTAGTTGCTGAAAAAGTTTAGTAATGACAGTGCTGCTAAATGACTGCTTGAAATCTGTTGTGACAAAGTTCCTGCTCTACCTTGGTGGGTCTTGCGCTTATTGGCGGATTTGCTCCCCTTGGAGCTTCGCAGTAGCCCTCAGCTTGGCCGTTTTTCTGAATTCACAGTCCAGGTCGACTCCTCCTGTGTCTGACCAGGAATTGGGAAGATTTGGGGGGAACCCAGGCCCGCCCTCTACTCCAGGTTCCAGCCCAGGGCCCTGTGGAATGCAGCTGTCTAGAGTGCCTCCTGGAACAGCTGTGCGACAGCAACAACTCCCTGGGCTACTTCCCCATGGCCTCCTCCCAACACCTTCTTTATCCTCACCATAGGACCTTCCTCCTGGTGTCTGATAATGCTTGTACTCCTCAGTCCTCCCACAGTCCGCGTTCTCACTCTCAGCTCCTAGTGCCTCTTGCTCCCAGCTCCTCACACGCACACCACAAACTGAAGTGAGCTCCTTTTTAAAACCCAGGTGCCCTGATTAGCCTGCCTTAATTGATTCTAGCAGCTTCTTGATTGGCTTCAGGTGTTCTAATCAGCCTGTCTTAATAGTCTCCAGAAGGTTCCTGATTGTTCTGGAACCTTCCCTGTTACCTTACCCAGGTAAAAGGGACCTACTTAGCCTGGGGCTAATATATCTGCCTTCTGTTACTCTCCTATAGCCATCTGGCCCGACCCTGTCACATATATCCCTTCCCCTCCCCCCCCCCCCAACCCGCTCAACACTACGGGGTTGGGCAACTTGGGACGTCAGGCAATGTACTCGTGACAAGCCATCTGCATTGCCAGTTTGGCTTCCAGCCCGGTGTTGTATGGTGAATTGGAAAGGTTGTAGGGACAGGAACCATCTGGTCACCCTTGCGTTCTTCTCTTTATTTCGCTGCATCCACTGGAGGGGTGCATGGTCGGTCACAAGGGTAAACCGTCATCCCAGAAGGTAATAACATAGTGTTTCCATGGCCCATTTCACAGCTAGGCACTCTCTTTCAACCACAGCATACTTCTGCTCTCTCGGGAGGAGTTTCCTGCTGAGGTATTGGATTGGGTTTGGGTGTTCTTCATCTCTGACCATCTGCAATTGGACAGCTCCCAATCCTACTTCAGATGCATCTGTTTGTAAAATGAATTCTTTGTTGAAGTCTGGGGCTATAAGCACGGGGTTACTGCAGAGGGCTGTCTGTAGATCCATGAATGCTTTCTCTGTGGCATCTGTCCATTTCACCATGTCTGGACCCCGGGCTTTTATCAGGTCTGTCAGGGGACTCGCTCTGGTAGCAAAATGGGGACTAAATCATCGGTAGTACCCCACCACACCCAGGAATGCCCGGACTTGCTTTTTCCGATTTGGCCGGGGCCAATTTTGGATAGCCTCTAGTTTGTTTATTTGGGGCTTGACCATGTCCCTTCCTACAGTGTAGCCAAGGTATTTAGCCTCGGCTAGCCCTATAGCACACTTGACTGGGTTGGCTGTGAGGTCAGCCTGTCTTAGCATGTTCAGAAACGCTTCCACCTTTCCTAAGTGGGTTTCCCAGTCTGGGGTGTGAATAATCATCCAAGTATGCCGCTGCATAACTGGTATGGGGCCGTAGGAGCTTGTCCATAAGACGCTGGAAGGTGGCAGGTGTCCCATGCAGTCCAAAAGGAAGAACAGTATATTGAAACAGACCCTCTGGTGTAGAGAATGCCGTCTTTTCTTTCGCATTTTTGGCAAGGGGAATCTGCCAGAATCCCTTTGTTAAATCAAGGGTGGTCAAAAATCGGGCATTGCCCAGGCAGTCAACTAACTCATCGATACGGGGTATGAGGTATGCATCGAATTTGGATCTCTCATTCACCCTGCGAAAATCATTACAAAACCTAGTGGTGCCATCGGGTTTGGGCACCAACACAATCGGGCTTGACCACTGACTGTGGGACTCTTCGATGACTCCCAGCTCCAACATCCTTTTTACCTCTGCCTTGATCTTCTCCCTTTTTGCTGCTGGGACCCGATAGGGCCTTAAAGTTACCTTTGCCCCAGGGTCTGTGATAATGTGGTGATATGCTTCAGTGGTCTGGCCTGGTTTGGTTGAAAACAAGTCCTGGTATCGGTTGATCATCTCAGTTACCTCCTTCTTCTGGTTTGGTGTCAGATCAGTGGATATCCTGATCTGCTCCTGCATATTATTTCCCTGGATCGGGGTCTCTTGGGCCACTACACACGCCTCTCCTTGGTGCCAAGGCTTTAAGAAGTTAATGTGATAAATTTATTCTTGTTTCCGGCATCCTGGCTGCCACACCTTGTAGGTTACTTCCCCACGGTTTCAATCACCTCATAGGGCCCATGCCATTGTGCCAAAAGCTTGCTTTCTGCCATGGGTACCAACACCATCACCCGATCCCCTGGTTGGAACTGTCGGACTTTTGCCTGGCGATTGTAATGGGTTCGCTGGGCCTCCTGCGCCTTTTCCAAATGTTCCCGTACAATAGGGGTGACCCGGGCTATCCGTTCTCTCATCTGCAACACATGGTCAATTATATTTCTCCCCTCATTGGGTTCCTCTTCCCAGATTTCTTTTGCAATATCTATTATGCCACGGGGGTGGTGTCCGTATAATAAGTCAAAGGGGGAAAACCCAGTTGAGGCCTGAGGTACCTCCCAGATTGCAAACATAAGGTAGAGTAGTAGGGTGTCCCAATCCTTCCCGTCTCGACTTACCACTTTCCTTATCATTGTCTTGAGGGTTCGGTTAAACCTTTCTACCAGCCCATCGGTCTGCGGATGATAGACTGAAGTTCTCAGGGTATGTATATGGAGCAGCGTACAGAGGTCCTTCATTAGCTTCAACATAAATGGGGTACCTTGGTCTGTTAGTATCTCCTTTGGTAGCCACACTCGGGCAGAGATCCCTACCAACTCTTTAGCTATCGTTTTAGACACCGTGTTCCGCAGGGGGACGGCTTCTGGGTAGCGAGTAGCATAATCCAGAACGACAAGTATATATTGGTGGCCCTGGGCTGTCTTCTCCAGGGGTCCCACAAGATCCATAGCTATTCGCTCAAAGGGGACCTCCATGATGAGAAGGGGTACTAAAGGTGCCCTCAAGTGAGGACGGGGACTGTGCAGCTGACACTCCGGGCAGGACGCACAGTACCTCTGCACTTCTTCATGTACTCCAGGCCAGAAGAATCGTCGCAGGACCTGTGCCAGGGTCGTCTTTACCCCCAAATGCCCCCCAAAAAGATGACTATGGGCCAGACTTAATACAGCATTCTGGTGTTTTTGAGGTACTAGGATCTGCTGTACTGTCTGCCCCTGTACTGGTGCAACCTGGTATAGGAGATTCTTCTTCATTATGAAGTAGGGTCCTGGTCGCTGGGTTTTCCCTTCCAAGGGGACCCCATCTATTTCGGTCACCTCCTTCCTAATGTTGTGGTACCTTGGGTCTTCAGCCTGGTCCTGTCCAGAATTTCCTCTCCTGGGGCTAATCTGCCTGAGATCTAGGGGGCCAGTCTCTGTTGCCTTTACTGGTTCAGAGGCGTTAGGGTGTGGGTCAGACTCGGGTGCTTCTCCCTTCTGGGTGGCCTCCTTTTCAGCTGCTCAGGTCTGCCTACCTACGAGAGCGACCCTCTGGCTTTGGGCCAGTATTTGGGTTCCCAAGGCCTTAGCTGCCCTTCTTTCCCTTTTCGTCTTTTACGCTGTCTGGGAGTGGAGAACAAATCTGAGTGGAGAGAAGGTTGGGGGTTGACAGTCTACTGTGGATGCCTCACTACTTTCAGGGCTTCCCCCTTTTTCTAATTCCCCTCCTGGGAGTAAGTCTCCAAACCCTGGGAAGCCCCTCCCTATGTGCACTGGGTATGGGAGTTTAGGGACTACACCTGCTGCTATCTCAGTAGTGTTCTCCTGAATCTCGATTTTTACTGGGATGGTGGGGTAATAACCAACTGTCCCATGAACGCATGTTATCCCCTTACGCTTAGCCCACAGCAGCTGACTACGCTTCACGAGCTTCCCCGAGACAAGCATGATAGCACTCCCCGAATCAACCAGTGTTGTGGTCTCTACCCCATTTAGCTTCACTGGTCTAGTGTACATATGTGGGGTTAGTGAGACCCCCCACAAGGTGGATTAGGGAGCATGGGTCTGCCCAGTTCCCTAGGTTACACTGCATAAGCTCCTCGGCATTGGGACACTGTGCAGCTATGTGTCCCCACTCCCCACAGGCGTAACATCTGTATGGAGCCCTAGGCATTCCCCGGTCTCTTGGTTTGGGTAGTCTAAGATCACGATTCTTTTCCCCCTCAGTGCTCCGACTCTTTGTGGCTTCAGGTGGGCCTTCAGCCCCTCTCTTTTTCCACCTGGTTCTCCTGGTGGCCCAGTCACCCGAGCTGTAGGTCTTGGTGCTGCTAGTTTAACCCGGGGTGTTTCTTCCTTATCTGGTCAGGTCAGCTCCCTCGCCGTCCTTCGCCTTTCTACCAGCATGACAACCTCGTCGTAGGTGGAGGGTTTGTTCTGGCTTACCCAGGCGCGAAGGTCTGGCGGTAGTCCTCTCATGTACCGGTCGATGACCAGAACCTCTAGTATCTCCTCTGGACTCTGGGTCTCAGTTCGTAACCACTTTCGTGCGAGATGGATGAGGTCATATTATTGGGACTGCGAGGTTTTGTTTTCCTGGTACCTCCACTCATGATATCGCTGAGCCCGCACTGTGGTAGTTACCCCAGATCTGGCCAGGATCTCTGCTTTCAGCTGGGGGTAGTCTGCCACAGCCTCTTCAGGCAAATCATAGTAGGCCTTCTGGGCCTCCCCACACAGGAATGGAGAAGGATGCCAGACCACTGTTCTCGGGGCCAAGCCTCCCGCAGTGCTGTCCTCTCAAAGGCCAGGAGGTATGCCGCTACATTATCTTCCTGCGTCATTTTCTGCAGCCAATTGCTGGCCCGCATGATCTGTGTCCCATCATGGCCGCGGTTCAGCTCTGTAAGGGCCTTTACCTCGTTTACCAGTTCCCGCACATAGCCCGGTCTTGAGCAGCCTGATCCATCAGCAGGCGATTAGTCTCTTGCTGCAGCGCACTGCCTGCTGTTGGGAGGCTGCCTGGACACGAGTAGCCTCCTGCTGGGCAGCCGTGGCTTCTATCAGTGCCCACACTACCTCCTCCATTGTGGTGAAAAAAATAGATCCTCTTTCCTTTTTTTCCCCTTCCAAACACCCTCCTTCTTCCGCCGCACTGTGGACACCAGATACCACTTCTGACACCAGTTGTGACAAAGTTCCTGCTGTACCTTGGTGGGTCTTTCGCTTATTGGTGGATTTGCTTGCCTTGGAGCTTCGCAGCAGCCCTCAGCTTGGCCGTTTTTCTGAATTCACAGTCCAGGTCGACTCCTCCTGTGTCTGACCAGGAGTTGGGAGGATTTGGGGGAACCCGGGCCCGCCCTCTACTCCGGGTTCCAGCCCAGGGCCCTGGGGACTGCAGCTGTCTAGAGCACCTCCTGGAACAGCTGTGCGACAGCTACAACTCCCTGGGCTACTTCCCCATGGCCTCCTCCCAACACCTTCTTTGTCCTCACCATAGGACCTTCCTCCTGGTGTCTGATAACGCTTGTACACCTCAGTCCTCCAACAGTCCGCGTTCTTGCTCCCAGCTCCTCACACGCACACCACAAACTGAAGTGAGCTCCTTTTTAAAACCCAGGTGCCCTGATTATCCTGCCTTAATTGATTCTAGCAGCTTCTTGTTTAGCTGTAGGTGTTCTAATCAGGCTGTCTTAATTGTCTCCAGAAGGTTCTTGATTGTTCTGGAACCTTCCCTGTTACCTTACCCAGGGAAAAGGGACCTACTTAGCCTGGGGCTAATATATCTGCCTTCTATTACTCTCCTATAGCCATCTGGCCCGACCCTGTCACACTGTCCTTTCCTTGGGTCTCTACTCTTCATAGAAATCTTTCCAGGATTCAAGTGCAGTCTTGCTACAAGAGTTAAACTCAGAACATACAGCTTGCTGACCTCATGTTCAGCTACTTTCTAATTACAAATACCAGATCAGCTGTGACTAGAAACTAAGGAAAAGCAGAGTATAAAAGAACTTAGAAGTCACTGCAGAAAAGTTCTTCTATCTCAGTTGTTTCCACTTTTGAATCTCAATTGCTTGGTTTCTATAGTAACAATATCTTACTTCCAGACGCAAAACAAGCCACTTTTTGCTTCATCTCAGAATTGACAGGGCTACGGTACTTGAAAGACCAACAGTCTAATTGAGGTGGAGGATACACCACTTACTTGCAATATAAATTAGATATTAACACAGGGAATTATAAAAAATGCTAATGTTGGAAGCTAGCAAGCTAGAACTAGGGACTATACATTGAATTATTATTTATTTTCAGAATTGATTGCAACTTTGCTTAAAATAAGATCTGTCTTCATTAAATTATAAGTGCACTTATGCTAATTCAGGAAAGCAAAAGTTAAGGAAAACTCAATTCAAGAGGTATTTTGGGCATTAGTGTAAGTAATATCATACCATAAATGGTTAAAGTGCAGTCACTTGTTAGTTCAGTGTGTGGCTAATATCAAACTGATTATTCTTCAGGTAAATAATCACACAAGAATTAAGTGGCTATGTTCAGTGAAATATGAAAAATGGCCAATCCTTTAAGAGGTGAAGTGCTGAATCTTTACAAAAATGTAAGTGTCTTGAATGCCATTAGTACTTTTGCTTAACTAGATAAAAACATTTTTGCCACATAGTGCCAAGTTCTAAAATATTTGTTTTTGTTTTTAAAGCTGCTGTACCTTGGAAGGGAATATCCCAAAGGAGCAGACTACTTTAGAAGCCGTTTGAAGGCAGCTTTCCTAAAAAATAAGGATGTGAAAGATCCAGAAAAAATTAAGCAACTAATTAGTCGTGGAGAATTTGTTATAAAAGAGCTAGAGGCCTTGTATTATCTCAGAAAATACAGGGCTATGAAACAGCGATACTATGAGGATGACAATAAGAATAAGTGATGTGTAATATTATTGACCCTGTGCTTGTAACAATACAGATTAGTGGCTGGGATGAATGAATAAAAAAGAATGGTTATGTTAAAGGCAATGAGACTTAAATATTTCCAAACCAAAGGACATATTTGATCACCATGTCAGTGGCTACATTACTACATTTCAAGTGGCTATTTTAATTATTTGAATATAAAGTTCTGTGGCATGCAGATATGATCTTAAACTGATAGCTTAGAGGCTTTGTCCACCATTGTGATCTATCCTGAACTGAAGCTTGATGCACAAAAATGCTCTGACAGAAAGTTTAACCTAATTTGGTTCCTCACTTAATTTTCTTCACTGAACAGACTAATTTAAAACTGAATGCAGATCAGATAAGGGCTATGAAAAAAGCTGTCGATTAATCGCAGTTAACTCAGGCGATTAACTCAAAAATTAATCGCGATAATCACATTTTTAATTGCACTGTTAAATAGAATAGCAATTGAAATTTATTATTTTGGATGTTTTTCTACATTTTCATATATATATAGTATTCTGTGTTGTAATTGAAATCAATGTATATTTTTATTACAAATATTTGCACTGTAAAAATGATAATAGTATTTTTCAATTCACCTCATACAAGTTACTGTAGTGCAATCTGTCGTGAAAGTGCAACTTACAAATGTAGATTTTTTTCTTACATAACTGCACTCAAAACCACAACCGTGTAAAACTTCAGAGTCTACAAGTCCACTCAGTCCTACTTCTTATTCAGCCAATTGCTAAGCAAACAAGTTTGTTTACATATACAGGAGATAATACTGCAGTCTTATTTACAGTGTCACCAGAAAGTTAGAACAGGTATTTGCATGGCACTTTTGTATCAGACATTGCAAGGTATTTATGTGCCAGATATGCTAAACATTTGTATGCCCCTTCATGCTTTAGCCACCATTCCAGAAGACATGCTTCCATGCTGATGATGCTCGTTTAAAAAAAAAAAATGCATGAATTAAATTTGTGACTGAACAGAGTAAAATGGATTTATTTGGGGTTTGGATCCCATTGGGAGCTGGGTATTGGAGACAGGAGTACCCGCTGAGTGGTTTTCAGTTAAAGCCTGCAGCTTTGGGGATGTGGTTCAGACCCTGGGTCTGTGTTGCAGCTGGCCAGTATGTCTGGTTCAACAAGACAGGGTTCTGGGGTCCCAAGCTGACAGAAAACAAGCTCAGAGGTAGTCTCAGCACATCAGGTGACAGTCACAAGGGAGTCTCTGTGACCGAACTAGTCACACCCGGGAATGGTGGTTGAAGCATGAAGGAACATATGAATCTTTAGCGCATCTGGCATGTAAATGTCTTGCGACACTGGCTACAATAGTGCCATGAAAATGCCTGGTCTCACTTTCAGCTGACATTGTAAACAAGAAGCAGGCAGCAGCATCTCCCATAAATATAAACTGGTTTGTCTGAGCGACTGGCTGAACAAGAAGTAGGACTGAGTGGATTTGCAGGCTCTAAAATTTTACATTGTTTTATTTTTGAATGCCTTATTTTTGTACATCTACATTTGTAAGTTCAACTTTCATGATAAAGAGTTTGCACTACAGTACTTGTATTAGGTGAATTGAAAAATACTATTTTTAATTACAAGTACTTGCACTGTAAAAAAAACAAGTGAGCACTGTACAGTTTGTATTGTTGTAATTGAAATCAATATTTGAAAATGTAGAAAACACCCAAAAATATTTAAATAAATGGTATTCTATTGTTTTAAGTGTGATTAATCGTGATTAATTGTTTGACAGCCCTAATATGTCATATGAAAAAAGTTAAGTGTTTAACATTGACCCAAATTTCTAAATATCATTTTCTTCTGTCCTTTGAGATTAAAATCTTACATATTGTTTCCTATTCACCACAAATGAAAACCATTTCAAAAGTCCAATTACTTTTAAAAAAAATTTAGTGGAGATTGGCTGTGTAGTAGTCCTTTTGGTAAGTTAGCTGAGGCTTTAACCTCTCTCAGTTCTAAGAAAAATATCACTGTATGGAAGATGATTTAGAGAAACGTTGGCTAAGTATTCACACTCAGAGTGTGATCCCCTCTAGTTCTAGTCTGCTGTGAAAAATACTATTCTATTTTTTGTAAAGTTTTGCTGTTCCAATGCTGAGAAATCATGTTCTGTGCTCCTGGTATAGCACTTAAATCATGTCACCTATTCCTGAAACTGTGCCGGCATCGCTGATACAAACCTGTGCCCTAACTGGCTTTGCATAGAATAGTGGTATGTTCTTCGGTTCCATTTAACATCACAGGAAGAGGAGTTAAAGTGAAACTAGCTTTTTAAATTAGATTTAAGTGCACTACTTCAGTAGCTTTGCTGGTATAGCCACAATATTTACATGATTGACTTTGGGGTTACTGAAACAAATTGTGTAATATACCATTTTGTCCCTGCCTCATCGTCTTTAAGATTTTACCATGTTAGCTAACATGAGTTATGAACATCTATTTTTTTCCCCTTTAGTGAAGACAAGGTCTCATGGGGACTTGAATAAGAGCTGTTAAGGCTGAAGAGCCTGAGTTAGCAGGGGAAAGGAGCAGCCTCTCTCTCAGGCCACCCCTTGTGGCAGCAAAATGAGACATTGCTCATAGTAAGCTGCACAGATCTGTGATTCTGTTCTCTTCTTTCTTACATTAAGAATGACATTAACGTTGATATTTAATTCATTACCACTGAGCATCTGAGTTAATACCTCACCAAGTTGAATGGGGCAGTTTGCATCTCAGAATTATTCCAGACTTTCTTGCAGGTTACACTTGGTAGAAGGGAGTTAAGCCAATTCAGTTGAGCTAACATGGAAAGGACATGTTTGAAAGTGATGCCATGAAACATTCCACCTCTAAAAAAAGGGCACCTCAATAAGCAGACACACTCATGGAACAATATCCACATCAGTTACTCCAGATTCCTCTGTTCCTCAACATTACTAGTTCTCAACCCATCATTTAGAAAGGTCTTTGCAGAAACTTCAAAAGCAAGCAGTAAAGTCACAAGATTAAAATACACAAAGGAAAAATGAAAGTGAAGAAATCATTGCATGTGATCTTCTTACAGGAAGAAAGGGCCCTGCATCTTATTGTTAGTATCTACTAATTTCAGGTGCTCAGTTGGAGACTTGTAGGGTGGGATTTAAAACTCATTATTGGACTACTTAGCATTAAGTACCACATTATGTATTTGAAGCACAGCTCCCATTGACTTAGTTACAGCTGGCAGGAGTTAGCACTTCTACAGATCAGACCCCAGGGTCTCAAGTCAGGCACCCAGGAAATGAGGAACACAGTATTAGGGACCACCTGTGAAAAATGTGTTTTAAGTCACTTGACTAGCATCACATGGTAAGTGTGGCAGAAACAGAAATAGAATCCAGTTATTAAGGGCACCATTCAACTGTGTCATCTATGAGGCCATCCTCTCTTTTCTTATAATCCCCTGTCTCATTCACTACACACCTTCTGACTTCTGTAACAAAAGAATCAGAGGTCCTAGTCTTTTACTACACAACCCTAATTCATCCCCAGAGCAGATACATCCTGCGTACGAGTCCGGTGGAAAAATAGTGGTATGTGATCATGTAATTAAGGACTATCATAATACATATACAACCTGAACTCTACCATCACTTCCTCATTTCTGAGTGTTTGACTTTACATTGATAATGTTTTTAATATAAAGGTGTGTGTGTGTAATTTCCTAGGGGTTGGTTTTTTTTAGAAAACTGAAAAAAAAAAAGTATACCACTTGGCATCACTGACACAAACATGCATCATCAGCAGGGTCAGATCCATTTAGATCCCTTATCACCCTCTCTGGAGACCAGAGGGGTGAGAGACTGAGTGGCTTTCATAGATATCTGCTGAAAATAGACGAATGGTGAGACAGGAATCTTCAGTTCCATTCCATGATGTGAAGGGGACTGGGTACAGACTTCTGCACATTCTCCCCAAGTTTGACTCCTGTTCAGTCCCCTCCAACCTGCCCTAGCCCTGTCTCTTACCACCTCTGACTCCTCCTCCCAATCTCCCCTCCTCAAGCTTCTTATCTCAGTCCCAGTTTCCTTGCCCAGCTAGTCCCAACTGGTTCCCAAACTCCTTGTCCAATCTTAGTGTCCTGCCCCTCTCCCCCGGGGCTCCTTTTCGCTACTTTCTTTGTTCAGTAAGTCCCAATTCTCCTCACACACCCTGGATCTTCATCACACACCCCAGATCTTCATCACACACCCCACCCCCGCCGCCATCGCCATCAGAGTTGTTCAGTTCCAGTCTCTCCCTCCACTCCTCAGCTCTTCATCTGAGCTAACTCTACCTTCTGTCCGCTGGCTTCCAGGCCTCCTTCCCCTCAATTCACTCCCCAGCGCCATTCTCCTTGTCCAACCAGGCCCAGTCTTTCCCCCTCCACATCCCCTCCAATTCCCTGTCCCGTCTTCCCTCCCCCAATCCCAATCCAAAACTACTCTGTCCCTCTGCATTTGAATCAGGCAACATCGAGAGCACAGAAAAGGGGCTTCATGCTCTCAGTTCTGGTGCCAAGCTAGCAACAGCCCAGAAATCCAATTGCAGGGAAAGTCCTGCCCAGCCACTGGTTGGAGCACACCAAGTGTGGTCAGAATCTTCAGGGAATATAGCCACAAAGCTCTAGCAAGTCTGTGCATGTGTGAATTGTGATTTTTTTTCCCCAAAGGCTTAGAATCTGGCCACATTTGGGCAGATTTTCACTGGGATAGTAGCAAAACAAGCACCTCTGGCAGAGACCACCTCTGCCAAATTTCTAGTCCCTGCTCCAAAGCACAGGGTCACTAATACAGTTCAGAGAAAAGGTTGCTAGAAATGTTTAAACTTGGGCAAAACAATGTACTTTTCCCTAGCTTCATTCTCAAACAGCTGAACCATTTTGGCTAGAGTTACTAAATAAATAATAAGCAGCAGCAGACACCCAGCATGGAAAATTTCAGCCCAAATTATTTGGCAAAGTTACAAACAACTGAAAATAGGGTCTTATAGTAATACATGAGCAACAAAGACCTGGACCAGTGTCCTAGAATGTATTGCCCAAATTTATTCATTACAGCTTTCACAAATTTCAGAGTAGCAGCCGTGTTAGTCTGTATTCGCAAAAAGAAAAGGAGTACTAGTGGCACCTTAGAGACTGACCAGTTTATTTGAGCATAGTTGATAGATTTCCACTCCATACGGCTAAATGCAGTGCCTTGCATAATGACAGGTTTCAGAGTAGCAGCCGTGTTAGTTGGTTAGTCTCTAAGGTGCCACTAGCTTTCACAAAGGAAAGAGTCATGGGGGGTGGGAGGTTTTCACAAAAGTTGATGGGCAATCAAAACAGCAAGAGAAATTGAGAGGGGCTGCCAAATAAATGAAGTTCATGGGGTACTTAACTAATTATAGAGATTAGCATTACATTTATTGGAAGGAGCAATAAATTAAATACCAACAAAAGTTCACAATAACTATTTTTATTACATTACAATAAATAGGAGCAGTACAATTTGACAAAAAATGACAAATTTCAGATCACCTCACAGCACATACTCCTATAAAACATTAAAAAGTTTAAACAGTGGTCATTCTTTTAATTTAAAGTCTGGTTTGACCAATATTCATAGGTCACGCAACCAAATGATGGGAAAACTGGATCACACTGCATATGTTCCACATCAAAATAAGCACAATGTACAAAATGTGCATGTTTCAGTTTACACTATACAAAAATAGTTAAAATACATTCCAGGTAAACATATTACATTAAGAAATTGTTCTAGTAAGAAGTTGGCACTCAAGAGGAAAAAGCAGAAGTATTTTCAACATGAAAACACAAGACAGTGGAATTATTAGGAAATATTACTGCCTATGTAGCTTTATGTAGACTTTACAAAAAGAGCCACAGCTTGATGGCCTTAGAAGGAAACAGTTGTATTGCTTGATAGTACTGACAAAAGAATGGAAGTTTATGTAGCAGCTTACCTATTAGAGAAATACTATTACAGTAAGAGCATTTTATATGGTGATTTTTTTTTTTTACATAATCTCAGCCAACCAAGATTGTAGGACACTGTATAGGTTAAAAAAAAAATCAAAACAGTAAAATTTCAGCTTTCAGTTAACGGATGACCTTTTTTTTAAAAAAAAAAAAGGTGTTTACCAAAATTTACATAAAGCTACTATCAGGCATTGGAAATCTAATGTATTAATGTAGTAAGTGAATTCACATGTTCATTTAATAGTCACTATCAGAAAAAGATAGCATCTGGATATGTTCTTGGAAAGCATTTCAAATAGGGAAAGACAGAATAATTATTAGATCAACTTGTGCAAGCTGCAATTCAACATGCCTCACCAAGTCTCTACAAATATTAAGACAAAACTGCACAACAGTGGCAAGGATGAGTGTATTTTGTGAAAGTTAGATCACAAAGACTGGTCTAAACAGTTTTAATATCTATTCAAATGAATTGGTTGTTTAAAGATTAAATTTATTAAAATAAGCTATCTTGGTATAAATACTTTTATACTGATAATTGCATCCACATTTGCAAGCTGCACCAATTTTAGCAAAATCAGTTTTTCTACCAATTTAGTTAAATGGATAAAAACTGTCTAGATGAGCCCTAAATTTGCATGCAGTGTGACTCAGTTACAAAAAGCCATGAGTCTTAAGATTTTATTTCTTCTGTTTGTTCAAGTTACACTATCCACTT